CTCAAGCATATGTATGCTACTTATCAATTTCGGAAATAAATTTGTCTTGAAATAATGTATTATATTTAATTAGATTCAAAAATTTATGACAAAATTGTATGCCTCAAATTTTAAGATTAAATAGCTGTTTAAAAAATTTTTTTTATAGGATTTGGAAATTACGAACATTCTAAAACCTCGTCTGCATTTTTTTTTGAAATATTTGAAGTTTTATTTGTATTTTGTAAATATTTTCAAAAGGAAAAAAAATGTGGGAAATAAACGTAATATTAAATGATCCATCAGTGAATTTTTCAACTGGTATATGAATATATTTTTAAAAATTAGGGAGATGAATCTGCTCGTAGAAATAATGTCATTTTAAGTTCAAATCTGGGGTCAGGGTATGGTTTGCAGATTTCTTATATATATTCTAGAATTCAAATTGATTAGGGTTTAATTTTCTCTTATAACCTTGCTTTAAAATATAATAAAATGTATGGCATGATATTATTCAAATAATTATTTTATATACAAATGGCCTGTTTCATGTGCAATGGTGGAAACTAGATTATGTGAAGGGTGAATTATAGCGCAACTAAAATTAGGATCACAGATACGACCTAAAGGGGCAAATCCTGTATGTTCAAAATAACATTTGTTTAAAAAAGCTGTAACATGTGAAAAAGTAAAAATTAATATTTTATTAAACAAAGATGACTGATATCAATTATTTTTGGCCACAACGATACCCCTTAACTAATGTTGTTAATCGAATGAGTCGAGTTGACATTCGCAAACTGGAAAAAAGTTTCGTATCAAAGAAAATAGAAAAACAGATTCAGTCGTGAACTCGAGTTGTGAATTTATCGACTAGAGGAGGAGTATTTCAAATTTTGTTATAAAAAATTATATAAATTATGTAGAAAATTAAAACTAACTTCACGACTCAAGTTCATAACTCGAATTTACGTTTCTAGTTGATAGTCTCGAAGAAAAATATACAATATTAAAAAGGAAGAGAACAAATTTTGATTGTTAATAGTAAAATACCCTAATTTGAAATTTCGTCCTCTAGTCGATTCAAATTTATGACTCAAGTTCAAGACTTAAGTTGCGAATCGACACTTGAGGTCGACTAAATTGACTAAAGACCACAAACTATGAATCCGGGTGAACTCGACTATTTAACAACATTACCCTAAAATGTTAGGTATCTAGCGATACTACATACTTTTCAGTTATATAATTATACAAAAAAAACTGAAAAATATCATCCAACGAATTAACACTATTTTAAAAAATAAAATTTGAATAATTTTTTTTTAAAAGAGAAGGAAAAGAAAGGGAATAGAAGGGAGGGAAAGAAGAAGAGTAGAGAAAGGGTTAAATAATTTTGATATCAGCCATAACACGAGTGACGGCCCGATAACTATTATTGACTCGGGTGTCAGTGTATCTCAAAAATTTTAATAATTACCTGTTTTGTCATCATATTTCCAGTTTCTATATCGTATATTTAATTTTTAAAAAATTAAATGTAAAATCAATATTGTCAGGTTTATTAAATATACATCTGATATGATAATTTTTTACTAGTTGGCTGCCTCAAAAAACATTCCGGCGCATCGGACAGATTTGCGCTGATTTCTAATTAAATCGTCACATATATATTGCAGAGATCTTCATGGGCCGGGCCAGCTCATGACCCTTAGGTAAATGCCCAGTTTATGGACCGGGTGTGGGCTTAATATTATATTTTTTGCAAGCCTAGACCGGGTTAGGGTTTTTGAAATTTTTTTAATGGGCCAGTCTTGGATTTAAAATTTTTTATTAAAATTAACTTATTTTAAGGATATTTAATTAACGAATCATTATAATTTCATAGTATTATTTATATAACTAAAATATCCTGCATAACTTAGAAAATTTATTAATTGCACATGATATATACAGGATAACGTTCAAGCAATGGATAACTGTAGATAGAACCAGTTTAGAGACCCTAACACAAACTGCTGACGAATTTCTTAATTACTTATTTGATAAAATATTTATTTTGATTCGCCATTCTTTTATTGCTGAACAACAAAATAGATTCCATCAGAATCTTAAAAACAACTTAGAACTAGATTATTATTTGGTTATCTGCGATTTTTCTGAAAATTACTCTTTTATACTTCAAGATGAAGTCCAAAGTTATCACTGGGCCACTTCTCAGGTTACCCTACATCCATTTGGTATATATTATAAAATAAATAATGTATTAAATCATATATGTTATGTGGCCATATCCGAGTCGCTGGTACATAACACTTGTTTATTTCATTTATCCCAAAAAAAATGATAAATTTTCTAAAAAATTTCTTTTTATCTGAGCCAAAATACATTTATTATTATTCCGATGGATCCGCGGCGCAATATAAAAATAGGAAAAATTTTATAAATTTGTGTTATCATCAAGTGGACTTCGCCATCCCAGCAGAGTGGCATTTTTTTCCTACTGCCCATTGGAAAAATGTTTGCGATGGAATAGGGGGAACCGTTAAACGCTTGGCTGCGCGGGCCAGTTTACAACGCCCTTATGAAAATCAAATAAAATCTCCCTATGAATTCTTTAAATTCGCTGAGGAAAATATTAAAAATATTTATTTTTTCTATACATCCCATAAAGAATACCAAGATGAGCAAGAATTTTTAGAGGAACGATTTTCAAGAGCTCTTTCAATATCTGGGACTCAAAAAATTCATGCAGTCTATCCTGTTAATTTATCACAAATAAATACAAAAAAATATTCTAGTGCTATTGAAGTCAAATTAGAAAAAATCCAAAATATAAAGCGAAATATTAACTAAAGATATTAAAGGGTATGTTACATGTTTATATGATAATAAATGGTGGTTATCATTTAAAGAAATTTTAATAAAATTATTTTAAATATTTATATTATACGCTTATTATTAATTATTCGATAAATATTATATTATGGAATAAAAAAAATTTCTTAGAATGACTTTTTATGTTAAAATTGATATTTTAAATTTCTTGCGCCATCTAGCGGATTTTTTTAAAATGCGATTTTATTTAATTAAATTTTTTGGCCCTACTTTGAAATTTTATATATGAACAGTTCTTGGTACTCTTTACAAAATATCTGAAATTTGGGAAAAAAAATTTAGTCTAACATTTTAAAAAATTAATTACAAATTTTTATCCGCAATTTAAAAAAAATATTTAAACTAAAAATTAATTTTATTTAACATACGTTCAAGAGTTTACTTAGGGCTATAAAATGAGCCATAATAAATATACATAGTGCATCTAATATAAAAGTTATCTCAATTTTAAAAAATCATTTTTTTCGAAAAATGACCAAGTTGACCCACTTTGAAGCCCTATATCTCCAATTCTAATAGAGTTAAGACTCTAATATTTTGGATTCGTCACTTACAATACTTTATTAACTTTAATGCCAAATTTTAACAAAATCTGAGATGGTCGGGTTGTAAAGTGATTTTTTTTAATACCTTTTTAAAAACAGAGAAACCATAAAACGTTTTACTACATGAAATTAGATATTCTATCCATTTTTTTTCCTCCTTATCATCAAATATTTTTGTTTATTATCTTGACCTGTCTTTGACATAGTGCCAGCCATTTATATTTTTAATAATGTCTTAAAAAATTTTTAACAGGTGTACCTTATAAATAAAAAACACTCAAAATTTATATAATTCTATATTTAAATATAAAAATCTTTTGATCATATTATCATAAAATAATATCCTGATAAATAAAATGTTCATATTTAATAAAATATAATATTTTGAATCATATTATATTTTCAATTATAATAGATATATATAATAATATTTGCTTGCTAGATATAATTCATTTTAAATAATTGAATTATCAGTCTAAAATTTACATATGGCAAATGAAATGTTTATCTGATTGATTAAATATAATTATAATTTGTATTTAATTAAATAATGTCAATCACAATACATATTATAACTATCATAATACACAATATATATATATATATATATGAAGATTTTAGTTTGCAAGATATTTATTTAGGTTTGATAATATATTAAAATTGTATTATGAAAAATTACATTAATAAATTTATATAATAATTATCATTTTATATATATTGTCATATTTAAACTTTTAATTTTTAAATATGTTAAGTGAACATATTGTAATTTTCACGTCAAAAACATGTCATAACAGATTAAAATTTAAATAGCTAAATAATAATCCCAAAATATGGATATCATAGAATACACTTTTAGAATAAAATTTTAATTTTTAATCATTGTTTATCTTAGAATAAAATTAGCTAAATCGACAAGCCCCTTGCGCCTAGCCCTGGTCTCCGCTATCAATTTTCTATATATTATAGAAAAAAATGGCATAAAACAATTTTCAGCATTTTCTTTCATTAAATAGCAAAATTTGTGATAAATTTAATATAATAATAGTAAATCATAAACAAAAATATTTATTCAATGTAAAAAATGTCAGACATATATACATATTCATGAAAAGTAGGGTCTTCACATCTAGCAATAAATGCTAATAAAATTTATAGCAAAATTTTTTTCTTTTTATTCAATTAAAAATGATATAACAATTATTAATTATATATTTTTAAATGATAATTAAAAACTATAGAATATAGTTTTGTTTATATCATTCTTATTAATATTATATAATTCCTATATAAAATATTATATTTCCATTAGTATTATTTAAACCTGTATAAAAAAAATATTTGAGGTTTAATGCGCTATTGGACTGGGATTTGGGATTTGTTTTAAATTTTTAATGTTGGCCGGGCTGGGCCTAGGCTTACAAATTTTATACGGCGGTCCTTGGCTGAACATTATCATAAAATTAAGGCCCATGAAAGTCTCTTATATAGTAGCATACTAGTGTTAATAAAACGGGGTGGATAACTATTTACAAGCTTCCTAACAATTTATTTTTTTGAAATAAATTATATACTTACGCTGAAATCAAGTAAGAGACATCTTCTTTTTTATCTAAGCGAGCTTGAGCAGTGTTTTGGCAAAATATATCTCTATATCTTTCCCCTTTGGTAACAATGTCATTCTAAAAAATATTTTTTTAAATTTTGGAATCTATAGAATATATAAAATTTACATAAGGTCGAATCCCTTTGAGAACGAAATATGCCTCTATTGGAAATGAGGGATCCTTTAAAATCAAATCAACCTGTAAATATATTATAGAAAAATTAATCAAAAACAAAACAATAATATCATACTTATGTACCGTTTCCTTAATTCACCGAATAATTAAATTTTTCTAATTCAAAACTCATTTATAATAATGGTTAAATTTTTCTAACAGAATAAATTCATAAAATAAAACTATATAAATATAATGATATCGATTGTAGAGTTTTTAAAAAGGCCTAATTGGTTCTATTTTTAAAAACGGCCCGATTAAGATTTTAACCAAAATAGTATTATTTAGGCCTCATGATTTGGCAAATAGATGCACAAACATTTCTGCCATTTATAATTTCTAAGCTCACATAATATTATTTTGGCTATAATAATCTGCTTAATTTTAAAAAATGACCCTAATCGGGCTTTTAAACAATATTAATCGATTCAACAAAACTTTAAAAAATTTGGTAATACTTTGGTGTGAATACTATTTTCGAAAACACAAAATTAGACCTAACCCTATCTAAATAATAAAAATTACTAAATTATTTATTAATTTTTTTGTTATAAATTTGAACCATAAATTTTTTATTCAATAAATTATAAAAAGGTTTATCGTAAAATAAGTATTCTGGGATTCAATGTGGCTTGACACCATTTCTCTGTACATTCAGTTAAACAAAAGAAATATAAATTATTACTTGAAGTGCGATTGACTTAAAGTCTTCCTCGCGTAGCGGCATATTTCTGTAATCTATGTAGAACATAGCTTCTACATAATATGGGCCATTAAAGGGGGGATTGATTTTGCTTTCTAATACAATACAGATTTTTAAAGTTCAAACAGGTAAAATATATAAAAAAATTAATTAAAAAACATAGATAAAATATATATATTTTATTGCCTCATTTTTTTAAAGCATCCGTTCAAAATTAAGGTGCATCATTTTAAACATATAAAATTATCATTTTAATCATTATTTAACCAATTAAAAATGATATTAGTTAAGTTTGAAATGATACTATATATGCTATTCATCTTTTAAATGGTATTTAAGTTGAAAATATTATGTGTTTTATTCTAAGATATAATGATTGATCCAAATCGAGAAAAATGTTTTTGCCGATTCATAGACCTTTCTGAAATTCAGCTTAAGTTGCCCACATTTTTTGGACTTTTTTAAAAAAAAATTATTTACGGGTTTTATATTTTCAGGCCCGGTCATTTTTTTTAAAAAAAAAAAATTTTAGGTCAGGCCAGGCCTGGAATTTATATTTAATCTTTATAATTAATAATGGGGATTTAAAATATTCGGTTTTAAAATATACGGCCAGGCCCTGATAGATTTTTTAAGACCTGGCCCAGGTCTAAGGTTGATGTACATACAAACAAAAATATCAAAAAAAAGGAATGTAATAATTTATGGCTAAGTAAATATACTAATTATTATTATTATACATATAAATTTATCTAATTATTTTTCAATAACTAATTCATGTTGTTAAATGATTCGATTTGAGCCGATTTTTAAAAATAATTTAATATTTTAGCCAGAACTAAGCCTCAAGATTTCGCTAATAGATGTCCAAATCTTTGTGTCATCTATGAGCAAAATATTTAGGCTTACGTAATATTTTTCTGTATAAAACATTGAGTTAGTTGTTTTTAAAAATCTCAAATCGAGCTGTTTAACAACATTACCTACTATTATCCTTTTTTAACATAATATTTATGATCATTCTGTAGCGATTTATGGATCTTGGGTAGCAATTCCAACCTGAACAGTATTTTGTTAAGGGTTTACCTTTTACCAAATATTGTTCATCTTCTGTTTCAATTGTTCTATGCTAGACGAGAAATTTGTATTCAAATTTTGAAAACAATCGCTGCTGAAAAATTAAATCAATATTTAGGACATATGAGTTAAATTAACTCTTTGGTATAGCTAACTCCCATTAAAGTGCTTATATTAATTAATTTTTTATTATAAACTTTGATATTTGAAAGTTTTTATCATGAAGTAAATTATAAAAATTTACAAGAATTTTTGAAATATTTGAATGTTTTTATCATGAAGTAAATTATAAAAATTTACAAGAATTTTTGAAAGCGGGCCACCACAAATATTATATACTTTGGCATAAAATTGAAGGTTAACCTTACCAAAATACATATTCATATTGTTTTTTTTCTAATAATAATATTTTTAAAATCTTTGAACTATGTTTAAATAGTTATTACATTGTATGCTACCCTCAATAAAATATATCATATCTGCGTCTATGTAAAAGTCGTTATCTCCTATCTATTTTATACTATAACTTAATAAAAATTTGAAATTGAAAAACTCTGAAAATTCTACGATATTTTATATAGTTATTTTTTACGATGGTATTCTTGTTTTTATCTTCAACAATAACGCCCGCAATCTCATTCACGTAAAACGCTCTGGTCAGAACTCAACATGTCATGGGGTGTAATTGTAAAGGTAAATATCCTTGTTTTTCTTCCGCCATATTTCGATTTGATGTGTAATATCAATGAGAATTTTTCGCATCTTTTACATTCAATTCTGCCAAGGACGATTGATTACGACACATTCCTAAAAAAATAATATTTATAAATAATAAATACTCTCCAAAACCAAATATAACGCCGGTTATTACTTTATGCAAAGCAATATTGAAAGCTATATTAATGGGATAAAATATTTTATTTATTGTCATAATTATAAGATTAAATTAACAAGATCAGTTTTTCAAAAAGTTAAATATGTCAAGAGTTATGGCATAAACAAATATATCATTTTGATTCATGGATATAACACATACTAAAATGAGCCAAAATTTTGAAAAGTCTATTTTGGCTCTAATAAAGAATTGAAGTCTTCTAAACATTGTCTCAAAAAATGCATGGCAGTGCTTAGATATTTTTCCGAAGATTTTTAATTTATCAGGATGGAATGCTTTATTTGCCTTGCGTACTACATTACTGAATATACTTTCTTAATTTTGGTTCATATTAGTATGTGATATATCCATGAATCAAAATGATATATTTGTTTATGCCATAACTCTTGACATGTTTAACCTTTTTAGAAACTGATCTTGTTAATTTAGTCTTATAATTATGACAATAAATAAAATATTTTATCCCATTAATAAAGCTTTCAATATTGCTTTGCATAAAGTAATAACCGGCGTTATATTTGGTTTTGGATAGTATTTATTATATAAATATTATTTTTTTAAAATGTCTTGTAATAAATGGTCCTTGGCAGAATTGAAGGTAAAAGATGCGAAAATTTTTTATTAGGTAACGTAAAGTTGGCGGAAGAAAAAAAGGATATTTACCCTTAAAATTATATCCGATGACAACTAACGTGTTGAGCTCTAACTTTTTCATTGAACACAAGGATGGAGGCCTAACAAACTACCCGAAGCCAAAAGAGAAATTCCAATCTTATGTTTTACATAAATGAATTGCGGACATTAAAAAAAACTTTTATAAAGATCTAATCTTAATATTTCAAAGCCAAATAATGTCGTTTCTTCATTTGGTTAATTGTTAATAGTGATTATTCAAGAATGACGGGGAATAATAACTTTCTTATTTGATAATGGGTAAATCATATTTTTGCTCCTTTGTTTTATGAGGTATAAATCAGAAATTAGCCTATCTTTTCTTATGAAAGTTAGACATTTAAATAATTGAATTAAACAAACTTCGACATAAATTTGATGGATTAAATATACATATATAAGGAAATCATTTAATTATGAATAAAAAAAAAGAAGGGAGGACATTTAACAATAAAAGTCTTAGGTTATTTTTTTATAATCTTAGGTAAAATTAAAATGCCGCCTATGTCTTTTAAAGTTAAGTTTAATAAAATAAAATTTTTTTAGCCGTCAACATATTTAACAAGTAATCTATACATAATGTATATAGTACGTAAATGCCTATTCAAAAAACTAATCGAATAATATGAATAAACAATATTTTTTTTAAATGAAGTAAAAGAAATTGTAGAAAATTTAAAATTTGTTTTTGCTTGAAAGAAATCAATGTTACGTAAGACAAAAATTACGTAAAAGAAATTAGTGGAAATAATAATATTTTATTTTGCTTAAAAGAAAATGATTTTATTTATTAAAATTGTAAGGCTGTTAAAATTACATTTATTCTGAAAACGTTAACTAGTTATAGTTTTACTAGTTTCATATTAAAAATATATCCAGTTATAGCTACCTACATTTCAAAAAATACTACTATTACATTTACTTTATAAATAATATTTAAAAATTTTATTTTGATAATATTATTGTTATTGGTATAATTTTTTTAAAAAATGATAAAACACTAAAATATTAAAACGACTCTATAAAAATATGTAAAAATATATAAAATTACTAAATAATAATATTTAATATAATCTTTTTATATTGTTATCTATAAATTTTAAAAGGGTATTTAAAAAAAAAATACAATTTAAATAGTATATAACAATTGTCACAATATAATATTAATTTGCACATAAAATATATCAATCCATGGTGCTATGCACCTCCTCATGTTCATTCTCTCCATTTTTTTAAATTACATTACAGTATTTTATTAACTTTTTTTTAGAAAAAATAAATAATATAAATTTTTAAATTTTTATATAGCTTATCTTTTTATTGTAAATTGTATACGTTTTTAAATCGAAATTTTATTCGAATTATAAATATGTATATTTGAAACTTTTTCGTAAAAATAAATATATATATATATATATAAAAGCAATATAAATAATATTTTTCAAAAATTAGACTTAATAAAATTTTCTTTTAACGATAAATTCAAAATAGATGTTTAGGTTTGCTAATTTGTTTTCAAAAATAAGCTTCCATAGATCAAACCGTTCTACAGAAGTATTTAAAATTAGAAGTAGAGGTATGAAAGAGACATTTTTTTGACCCCATTGGAAGAAAGGTTTATCTCAACCCTAAGATAAAATTTATTTTATATATCCGAATCAATAAAAAAAAATAACCCAAAAATTCTTATCAACTAATAATCAAATTAAAGTCAGTTTTAATTTGTGTAAATATTTGCAATAAGAAATTGTATATATATTTTATTTAAAAAATTTACTCTATCTGCCCTCCCCCTTTACCTAATAAATTACTGGAAATTTTTCAAATCTCTTTAGATAATAAATAATTAAAAAGTTGTTGATTATCTTAGAGCGAAGATCAAATTTTAAAATAATTTCCTACAAATTAATATTCGTCCTTTAAAAAACAAATAATTTAATAAACATAAAATAAAAGGTATACATTTTCTAAATAATTTAATTATATGTTCCAAACTCCAAAGTACGATGTTTTGAGATGCAATTTATATTTAAAAAAAATTAGCATTTTTTTGATTTGTTACGCTTAAGAAAAAGTCCGATCAAAAAACAAAATTTGACAAAGGAATTAAAATGAAAATATAATGTAATGTTATTGAAACAACTACACTGTGAAAAACCACAATTTAATTATTTGTATTGAAAAAAACTTAAAATGTATTTTTTAAAATTTATTTATTGATTCATTTTAAATTTTTTTCGGAACTAGTTGAGTCATGGTTGTTATAGCATTTATTAATTGCCAAAAAGTAAGATTGGCAAATCTAGCTATAAAAATAAATAAATATCAACTTAATTTTATTGTATAAATTAAAAGATTTTTTTGTCAAGTATAATAAAAATTATTTAAAATAAATTGGAGATAAAATTTTAATTAGTCTTTGTTTCAAAGATAGGCATTAAGTGAGATAAAATAAATTGAAGGAAATTGCAATATTATATGCTTCAAAGAAAATTAATATTGAAGAGTGTTTAAAAGTTATTTTTGAAAATTAACTAAATGTAGTTGGTAGTTACATTCTTAAAAATACATTATTTTTTTTAAAAACAATTTATAGTTATATTTCAAAAGTAACTAGTTACATTGAAAGTTACTTTATAAATAATCATCATTTTAATATATATTTTATTTATAATTTTATGATTTACAAATTTTAATTAAAGGATACAAAAGAAATACGATTCATAGAAATAATTGTAGCTAGAAAAAAAAATTAAAACAGAATGCAGCACTGCAAAAATGCTTCATAATATAATATTAAGTTGCATTGATAGAATATTTAAATAACACAATATAACATAATTTATCAAAAAATTGGACTTATAAATTTTTATTTGACTTTAACATATTATTATTTTCAAAATTGGAGCTTATAAGAAGAACTAATTTTTCCCCAAAAATAAACTTTTATAATTAAAATATAAAAATAATTGTGGAAAACTAAAGTTTGACTATGTTTCGTAAAGATCCTATATTCCCTCTGACATTAGTTATGACAATTTAAAACAATTACTAAATCAAGAAATTCAAAAACGGAATCTATTTTTATATTCAAAATAATATCCTATAAATTGCCATAACGTCAAAATTAGATATCAAAATCTAAATATTAAATATAGATCTTCACATAGACTTAAATTATCATAATAAAATAATTTTGGTCAATAGCTACATACAAATTTTTGCTTGAAAAGATTGTTAAAAAGAGACAAAATATAAAACCGGCGTTATTTTATGCTTTGGATATCCTCTAATTTTCGTTACCAAATGGTAAAATTATTTATGAAAATAAAGTAAAAATTACCTAATACCGCGGCTAAAAACAATGAAAAAATAATTCTAATGAGAATCATTGGATCTGATTAAGGATTTACCTGAAATTTAATTAAAATTTTATTCTATAAAATAATTTGTAATTGTGATTTCGCTTTCTAAAATTTGCGATATTATATATTATTTAAAAAAAACACTTTTCCAGTAATCAAAAGTAAATTGCTGACATACTTAAAATATGAGAAGTCATTATAATTCGTTATAAATACATATATTTTATTGTATATATCACTTCCCTCCCTCCCATCCTATACGTAAATTTCTGAAAATTTCTTAAATTAGATAATAATTTTTTTTTTCAAAACATAAAAATGCTTAGATTTTATTTTCGAAGCATAATAATTTCTTTTTAAAAAACTACTAATTTAACAAACATATTATAATGTATATATTTTCTCAAATAATTTAAAGGGATTTCCCAAACTTCCAAAGTAAAATTCGAGTGTTGAAATGCATAAAAATAAACGTAAAATAAAGCCCGTTCGAAAAAGGGAAAAAAATTGGATTCAATAAATTAAAATTATATAATTAAAAAAGGAAAAATCTTAAATCAATCAAAAGAGAAGAAAATGTAATTTATTATAATTTTTGATTTTAAAAATTATCTTCGTAAATTTTATTAATTTTTGTCAATTTGAAATGTCTATTTGAGATTTTTGCTTAATTGGTTATTTTTAATTCATTTTTAAAAAAAATATTTAGCATCTTTTGTTATCTCTCTTTAATTTTATGTAATTTTTAATCTATTTTTATTATTTATTTATTGAGTCCAGTAGGAGTACCATTTGCGAGGCCGGATTTTTTTTAAAAAAATTTTCGGTCCGGAATTTATTTAAAATATTTTATAACTATTTTTTAATTTTTTTTTAAATAATAATGGCGATTTAAAATATATGGTTTTAAAATATCCTGGTCCTGGCATTATTTTAAAAAAAATAATTTTTCACTTATTTTAGATTATTATTTTTTGTCTTTTTAACCTTTTAATCTTTAATCATTATTTTAAAGGTTGAAAATTAGTTATAAATATCTTAAAATTTGTATAAATTTAGGACAAATCGAATAATTCAAAAATAACTAAAAACCTAAAAGTGGCTTATTTTAAAAAAATGTATTATTCAATGATGTAAATTATATTACTAGGTTGGCGATTCATTCATTGAATGTATTTAAAAGTGTTCATATAAAGGAGTTAGCTGTAGTGCCATTTTGTGGTTTGAAAGTCGATATGAGATTAATGTGCGTTCATATAATGATAAATAAAGGCAATTTATCCAAGTGCCAACTACAAAAACGCGTTACAGCTGATTTCTTCGTATGGATATTTTAATAAATCGCTCCAATCTAGTAGTATACTAATTAAACTAGTACTTCTAGCAAATATTAGGACTCGAATTCGAATATTTTAAATTTGATATGTTCGAATTGAATCATTTATTTTGTGTTTATTATTATTCGATATTCACGAATATTTATCGAATATATGATATATTTAATTCGAAATATTTGAGCCAATTTTTCCGTAGTGAAAGTTTTAAATTCATAAATTATATCCGCTAATATAACTTGACAATTACCACCTACAGAAATTATTGTTCTTTTAATACATCACAAATTTCATCTAATTCCTTATTCGTAAGATATCGGTCTTAACATTAAAAATGTAATAAGTAATAATACTACCTAACTGAATATGATCATATGAAATATATAGGTTTGGTTGATGTTTATTTATCAATACAAGTATGTCAAAATAGGTCTATTTTATTAAATTTATTTTAACAAATTATATTTTGCCCAATTACATCTAATAATTTATTTGATTATATCTAATAAATTACCCTAACCCCCAAGCCTACCCCTTTAGATGCCTAACTTCTACCCGACTTAAAAAAATTGGAAGAAAATGGCACCCCCTCCCCTCCACTCATGTAGACTGTCATTGACTATTTTAGATTTTTATTTAAAAAAAAATTCCTAAAAATTCTAAATTATAGTCGTTATTAAAAAAGTTATTAGCTTTTACTAATTTTTTTCAAATTCTTGTTATTAATTAATATTATTATCCATTTTTAGGGGAGTGGAGTGTAGGCGATTATTTTTATTAACATAAAATATTGTTTATAAAAACAAAGAAATTTACTAAGAGGGGGGATTCTTGCACTTCCCCCTTCTTTTTAACGGCTACACATTGATTTGAAAAGGGAAAAGAAGAGAATATGATATTATTTAATAAGAAATGTAATTAAAAAAATATAAGAAATTAATTAGTTTTCCAAATTTTGCACTAAAAATGAGTAAATGGACTTTTCTTAAAAATAAATATTAAAGATTTTTAAAAAAATAGAAATTGTATATACATTATAAAATATGTGTATAGTAAATATTTTTTATATTTTAATTTTAAGTATTTTTTTATAAGTTTAATTCATGAGATAATATATTTAATAAAATTGTTATAATGCCAATATCACGTCACAAATTTTTTTTCTAGGTAACACCAATGACATATAAAACTGATGCCCAATTTCTTAGATCTTGATTACTATGATTTGGTTTATTTATTATTTTTTTATCTGTTTTAGGCTATTCATTATTTTATTATCTGTTTTTAAGTCTATTATTTAGGTTATTCATTTTTTTATTTTGAGTTTTTTAAGTCTTTCATAAACATTATTGTAGAAGGCTATTTTATTATAAGAAATCTTAAATATAATGTTAATATTATTTGTTTATAAAATACTTACTTATTTTTTAAAATAAAAACTAAAGCTTTTACGAGAATTTAATAAATATTCAAATTTATATATAAATTCAACAAATTTCAAAATGCCAACCTCAGTTAATTCTGACTCATTTTTATGTAAGATATCTTATAAAATATAATAATATATATTTATATGATTTAAATTTGATAAAAATAACTGTATATGCTATGTAGCTTGGTGGCTATATTTTTATAATTTATTTTGTTAGCAAAATGTATCAGTGCACAAAGGGTATTTATATCTGATGTAAAATTGAGCCTTGTTGAAGAATTTAACAAAAAACTGAAGAATGTGGAGCCACAGTTAGAGTAAAATATTTATTAGAAATGCATATTTTATAACTTTTTTTTAACTTACAGAGGTTTAAATGGTATTTTATCACAATCTCAACTATCTATTCCAAGTTCATCACAAGAATCAAAAGTTTTCCAAATTTCATCATTAATCCATGAAAAATGTTAAATATTTGAATTAATATTAAACTCTTTATTTAAACCATTTTGTTAATTTATATCAGAGATCTAGAGAGATTTAATTTTTCTGCCTAACCATGATTTAATTTTATCCCCCATTTTTAGGATTTTTTTTATAGAAAATTTTTTTGACTTGCTCTGAGTTTTCTTATTTTTAAGTAGTGTTTGGATTTTAAAACTATCATTTTTTAATAATTTTGCAAATCATTTTAAATAGTGGCTGAAAATATAAAGAGCAAATTAATGTTAAATGTTCTATTACTATAGGATTTACCAACTGGTTATGGATCATTTCATAACTAATTGACTAAAAAAGTTGGCTTTTTGCATGACCCTTTTTAAAACTATTGATCCGCATATTGGTTGTATAAGTGTGCATTAGTGATCTGCATTAAGCCTAATTTTAAATTCTTACAAGGCCTGAAATTTTTTATAAAAAAAATATTGTAAAAGTTATACTTAAAATAAAAATATATTAGCACCTTGTTTCTTGCAAGATTTTTAAAATACAATTTGACAAAATATAATAATATATTTAAATATTACCTAACTCAGCCCTAATTTTTTTTAAAAAATAGGTGACACATAATAATTTTATAGATATATTTATAATTATTTATAATATAAAATGTGTATATATTATTTTTAAAAAAAAATTATTTGCAAAAATGATAATAATCCACTAAATAAAATTTAAATTCTTATTTTCTCCATTAGTAACTTAAATACTTAAATATATTGGTAATAAACATATTTATTGAATTTCATTATTTCAAATATGGCTCCACTCAAACTATTTTTTTTTGTTTTTGCATATAAATTACACTAAAGAATCTTAAAAATAATTTTGATGTTTTCTTAAAGCAGAATTTAAGGTATTTATGGCTTTCGAATTTGATTAATTATTTAATTAGTAATTTGAATATTTAAACCAAGATGGCACCATTTTTGGACCTTGAAGACCTATAACTCCCCTTCTATTTGAGCTAAAACAATAAAATTTTAATTTTTATAAAAATATATTAAAACCTTCATCTATCTTTAAAAATGGTTTTACGAAACACTGGATTATTTGTCATGGAATTATCCATATTTTATACAAGATTATATTTAAGCCAGACTTTGGTTTGTAATTTTTTTATTACTGGACTGGATCCTTAAAATCTTTATTTTATGGCTGAAGCCCATGCAAGGCTGGTAGGTTTCTGATATAATATTAATTCTACAATAAGTTTTCTCGTCTTTCTAAAATGTAGTGTTAATGATCTATTTTTTGAGAATTAAAACTTTATAATTTTTTGTTTGATTAATATTTTTAAGTTGATTACTGTGACAATGCTGATGATATGCATCCTGCTATTTTGCCTGATTATAATATCCTACCAAACAACAAATATGATCCTTTGACATTTTACAAAAGAACACAATTAAGTGAATTGTTGCGGACACAAACTGTCTTTGATCCCTTGTCAACATGCACTAGACAATCGTTTGAACAGTAAATTATTATATTAACTTTTTTTTTATTAATAACATGCAAATAATGTTAATTGAATAAATGAACAATAAATATTAAAAACGCCATCCCAATCTCGCTCTTAGCCAGTGCTTAAAGCTTGGAATTATTATTGAACATCTGATATTTCGTTAATTTATTAAAACCAGTGACTAAAAAATATTGACAATTTTAATAGCTAAATAATCTAAGTAAAATTTATAAATTTATGCATAAAAAAATTCTGCTATAGAATATCAAATATATATAACCTGCATAATCATGATCGAGGGGAATTTATTTTTTTACTGTAAACTTGGTTTCACTATTAATTTTATTTAATACAAACTATATGCATAATTTGAAGGTGTGCTGGGAAAACATTTCTACAAAAAAATTAATTTTTGAGAATTAAAATATATATTTAATTTATTTTAGAATTATTGATTTTTAAAAAAAAATTAAATTTTTAAGATATTGTGTATTTATATAGGCTAGCGAGATATGTACAGAGAAATATATGCAATCTTCTTTTGTGATTTAACAACATTTTTCAATGATTTCATCGGTGTTTGGTGTCAAATTTCTTTTTTATTCTGTGGTATAATAACTTCCTATAAGGTTTTTATTCTTATTTGATGAAGATTTTTTTAAAAAATTGGACGTTTATTTGTGCAAATGCTAATGAATATGGTTGTCAAAAATATATATTTATTTTAATATATTCGGAAAAGTCTTAGTTTTGTAAGAACCGCTTAATAAAAGAAGGTGTCATTTATAGAACTTGAAAAATTATCCAGAACAGGAATAAAGAGACTTATTTTATAATATTCTTCTACTGGTCCTACATTGTTTTGAATGATTCAGTTATCTTAATTCACTAAACTTTGACTTGAATTCAATAATCAATAATATATGAAATTCCACATCAACCTTTGCCATAATTTTGTTTCTATGATTCACCTATCTATGATTTTTTAAGATATTAACATATAATAAAATAATTAGATAATACATTCAAATTTTTGTTTTTTTAAAAAATTGATTTTATCGAGCCCAACAAAGGGATCCCTTTGAGGATCTATCCTTTTCAAACTATTCTATCATTTCAATTATGAGCACTTATGATAGACTTCTCTAATTCCTTAAAATAAGTGGCCTCTTAATAGCGAAGACTGATGTGCATTTTTTTTGATTGTGTAGGGAGGATTTACCTCCCCCCTCCCTGGCTACGCGACTGATTCATTTAAAATAATATTTTAACCCAAGATTAACTCTGGAATATTTAATATCAAATTCGATGGGTGAGATATTTGTGCTTATATTACGTGTTTAAAATATTTTATAAAAACCATTTTATGAAAGAGAGAAGAAAAAAAATTATAATTTTTAAATTTGTTTGAAAAATTAATTTTTTTTTTCTCATAATTTTTACGAAGATATTAAGTTGAATGTTAAATTATCTTCTGCTTTTTATTTTTGAATAAATAAGCTTGATTTATTCTGCCAGAAACGGAAATAATTTTCACTATATCTACTACTTCTTCCTTCTACCTTTGTTATCAGACTACATAGAGGTACCGCCCTCTATTAATAATATTTTAGCCATACTTGTCTATTGAACAGATAATTCTAAGACGCGTAACCCATCATTCATAGTTAGCACGAATTAGCTGTGATTCATATAAAATACGATGTGTTTTTGTATTCTCCGCCATGAATTGACACTAACCAATGACATAATAATACTAGGCTGATGATGCATTCATAATTATGCGTTTGAAAGCATCGTTTAATGCAAATCAGCTGGACACGCCATTTTCGTAACTCGTATAGTAATTATTCTTGTTTTATAAACTACTAATAAATTGATAACTTGCTTCCTTATTACCTTTACGATCCGGCAATTCTTTGATAAAGTTTGCGTCAGACATAGGAATAAATTGCCTCTCGTTTAAAATTTTTAATAATAATATGGGTAACCAAAATGGCGTTCCCAGCTGTTTCTTATTGATGTAAACTTTTAATGAATGCATCGTCAGTCTAGGTATTATTTTATGTCATTAGCGCTTACTGGGAGCTAGGGGTCAATTACAGCATGAAAGCAAAGTATACAAAATATGCTGTATTTTTGTATTCTCCATCGCGAACTCCCGTTAACTGTGAATGCAGTGTAAGCCCTTTCTTCATTCTTTTTAAAAAAAATAAAATTTGGACATACCCTAAAACTAAGAAAAATCATAATATAACACTTATTTAATCATTGTAACGAGACTCTAATTTACAACTATGCTAAAATAAAAAAAAATAAAGAAAATATATAGACCAACACCTTCCTTATAATACATCCGAAAATTTTAAACCGTTTAGAAGTTGTAAAAAACCGAAAAAGATTAAAATAAATTTAACGGATCAAGAAGTGAGTTATATATTATATTTATATCTTTTAAATTTAAATCGTAACTAAGGAATATTAGATCTCTTTTTTTAGAAAAAATAAATTGATTAATATGCAAATTTTAGGGGGGAAAAAGATCAAAAATTAGATATTTGACTCATAAATAATCCGCCATTGTTACCGCCGGGGACCCGAACCGAACCGGATAAAGAATCCTGTTCGGTTACGTTTTAAGGGAAAAATTAAAGGCTCGGTTACGGTTCAGTTGCTTAAGATTCAATGACATAATAATACCTAGACTTCGATACATTCATAATAATGCATTTGAAAGCATCGTTGAATGCAAATCAACTGGACCCGACATTTTATTAACGCATATAATAATTATTCTCATGTTAAAAACTACTATTAAATTGATAACTTGCTTCCTTATTATCTCGATGATCAGGCAATTCTTTAATAAAGTTTGCGTCAGACATAGGAATAAATTGGCTTCACGTTTAAAATTTTTAATAATGATATGGGTAACCAAAATGGCGTGCCCAGCTGTTTTTCATTGATGTACACCTTTAATGAATGCATCGTCGGTCTAGATATTATATGTCATTGTTAAAATTATAAAGGTCTGCCGCTTCAATTATGGTTTTAAAAATAATTATAAAGGTTTTTACTGGTTTTTATTAATATTTACTTTAAATAAAATAGAATAGAATATGAAAAAAAATATTGGATTAGCGGGAAAATTTGAAAAAAAAATTTCGTTTTAAAATTTAATAAAAAGAAATACTCCTCAGGGAAAATAAAATGTAAGTTATCAAATATTATGGTCTAAGTTATAATTTTTTTTTAAACTGGGTTTAAACCGGTTAAAAAATATATAAAGGTTCAGTTACGCTTCGGAAACTTGAATAATTTCGTTTCAGCATAACGGTTCGGTTCGCTTCGGGTCCCTGGTTACAGCGGACTTGTTTGATGAAATGCTTCTTATTTAAAAGCCTTAAGTGAGCTAGTGCGGTTAGTTTATATGACTACCGAGAACATTCTTCAAGCCAATATAGGTTTAAACAGTGATTGTAACCGAGAACAGCTGATTTCCATAAATTTTAAGGTTCTTTTCCGGTTCCTAAATAAAATTTTAAGATCGGGTTTCTCGGTTCCAGTTTTTATTTATTAATTATAATTTGTTATATTTGATATTGTATTTATTAGAACTTCGATGGCTTAAAGATGGTCGATGAAACAATCGTTCATCATTGCGCGATCGAACATTTCGATATCGACAAAAAATTGGCTAAAAATATCGGTTCGCCTCTCAAATTGTTAGGTATTCACTTTGCTTTATATTTGGTTCAGATGTTAGAGGAAAAGGGATTAATTAAGTAGGCTTAGAAAAAATTGAATGTATTATATATAATTATGATTAATTCACATATTGGGTTGCTAAAATAAAAATATACATTTTTGTGCTTGCCACCCATTATCCATCTAAACCTTAGGCTTAAACTGGCCATGCATACATTAATCATCCCCTGGGTCTACAGATCAGATGATTCCCGGGAACAATAAATTGGTTGTAACCACAAGGAACGACCGTCACTTTTATGGACCCTTTTTTGGAAGAGAATGATAACGAATTTGAAAAAAAATCCACTAGACACTCTTTTCGCCAAAAATAATACCATGAACATATTTAATGGCTTTTCCTATTTTGTAAACATATTTCTAAATTTGAATAGCATTTTTTTAGCCTTTGTTAAACTTATATTGTTTGTGTTCGATAATTGTTTATTTTTTTAATATTATTATTAAAATAAAAATGTTAACTATTAACTTAATGAAAAGCAAAAATTACGGGGCATTAATTAAAATATCCTCCATATTTTCAAAATTTCCTTCAGCTCTTATCGCCACTTCATTCGGAATTCCTAAATTTGAATTACTAGGTTCCCTAAATTCACTTATCAATCCCTCTCTTGACTGTATCATATTGTTTGAACATCTTGACATCCCATTAATTGAAACCATTCTCATTTCTCTTGCTACTGGTGTTGTCCGTCAGGGGTCCACTTATTTATTCCATTGCTAAAAGATGTTTGTTGAGTCCTCCCACTAGGACATTCTGGCTTTATGTCCTCTTCCACCGCAATTGAAGCATGTCAAGCAGGGATTAGGTTCGGATAAAAATAACGGTTCCGGTTCGGTAAAAAATATCGGTTCGGTTCGAACCTTTAAAAACCGGTTTGAACACTTTTGTATTCAAACCTACATTAGGATTATGTATAAGGAAATTTTTATTACATAATTAAAATAAAACTTTAATTTTTATTAATTGCACATTATAAAATGATATTTAATTTTTAAATATAACAAATAAATATATCAATGATTAATTTTAATATGAACAATTACTTAAAAAATTTTTATTAAGCCGCACAATTAATATATTTTCAAAATTCGTCTAACTCAAATTACATCTATAAGGAGATAATATAAATTTAATTGTTGAAAAACATATTTCCACGTAGCTGGCATTGCCAGTATGATATCAGATTTGATGTGTCATTTATAATGCTATATGTAAATAATTTATATATTAGATTTAATTTTTTTCTAGGCATTATAATTTATAAGCCTAAAATATTTAAAAAATGTTGTAAAATGGCAATATATTAATGTTTATAAAATTATGACTGAGTTTATCAATCATAGGTGATTGATAATAATTTTTAAAACAATTTGAATATTAAAATTTTTGCAATATACTACACTAGTAATAACTTACACATTATTTTATAAGCATAAAATTATAAGACTCGAACCGGTTCAGAGGCATTTTAGCGGTTCGGTTCAGGTTCGGCTAGAAATTTTTTTAGAGGTTTAGATTCGATAAAAAATACCGGTTTTTCGCGGTTTAACGGTTCAGGTTCGGTTTGGATCCCTGTGTCAAATTTATTGGCAATTCTACATTTCGTCTCATTTGCAAATTGGATAAATTTGACCCAGAACCCATTCTATTTGACGATGAAGAACGAAATAAATTTGACCATTCACCAATGCCAAGGTGGACCACTGACGGATAACCGAGGAGAACACCAGTGGCAAGAGAAACGGGAATGGTTTCAATTAATGGGATGTCAAGATGTTCAAACAATACGATACAGTCAAGAGAGGGATTGATAAGTGAATTTAGAGAACTTAGTAATTCAAATTTAGAAATTCCGAATGAAGTGGCGATAAGAGTTGAAGGAAATTCTGAAGATATGGAGGATATTTTAATTAATGCTCCGTAATTTTTGCTTTTCATTAAGTTAATAGTTAACATTTTTAGTTTAAAAAAATATATAAAATAAGTATATATGTAGTTAGTTGATATCGTTGATTTTACATGTACCCCTCGATAATTGTTTATTTTATTTAATATTGTATATTTTTTTATTATTATTAAAAAATGTGTATATTTTTGTTTTATATATATATATATAGAAAAATAGAGATAAAATATATATTCTTTTTTGTTGTAAAAATTGTGAAAAATATATATGATAAAGAAAAATAAAGGAGTGTTACAAATATTATGTATTTGACTCTAAAAAAATCCAAGAATAAAAAGGTTAGAAAAGTTAGATCGTTGCTCAAAGACCTGAAGATGAAAATATACAAATTTATTTTGTTATTAAAAATGTAATAAATAAAATTATTATTATTATTATTTTCTTATTTTATTACAAGACGTTGTTGTTATTCCTAATAAATTGATTTTTATTTATTTATTGAATTCCAGAATAGTTTTATAAAATATTTTAAAAAATCGAGAATTTATCTACCATTACTATTTAAAAAAAATTAATTTGATAAAATTAAGCCGATTGAAAAGGCGGGATTTTTCTCCAAAAATTATTCTCTTTTAAATTTAAATAAAAAAACAGTTATTTTAAACAAATATATAAAGATGACGATTCGCTCGTATTTTCGAGTCACGTGAAAAATTTTCACCCCCGTCTGAACAACTATTTTACGGATCACGGAAATGAGGATAGCGATGACGATATGCGCGTTAAATATAGGCTTGGCCTTAAAAAACGCATAAAATGGGATCTACCGAATAACGGCGAATCGAATATTTCCAAGACAGGTGATAGCGAATCTCGTTTCGATTTCGAATCTTTTATGATCGAAGAACCTCTGTTTAACGCTTCCCCCCGATCCGACATTTCAAAATACGCTTACGGTCGACATTTAAATGGCGAAATTAAACGAGTAGGACCCTACTATAGTTTGCCGGAATTTTTATTATTATTAAATTTTTTGGCTTGTATTCCGATCTTAATCATGGATACAGATTTCTTTTTTTAAAAAAATTTACCTATATAATAATGTTTAAAAACCGGGTTTTTAAGGGGGCGGTGGCGACTATTTTTAAGACCGATTTCAAAGTTGGATCACCGAAACGTCTATATTTAAAATGGCGCAAATATTCGTTTATTCTTTCAGTTATTTTATTATCACGATATGAAAATATTTTTTTATATCAAATTTTAAAATAAGGGGGTCGTTCTTGATCACTTTTTTTTTAAACGTTGCCTTTAAAACGCAAAACGTATTTTTTAGTTGTCCTCAGCATTTAAAACAGCTGATTTGTCTTGTCATTATGCCAAAATGATTTTGAAATAGACAAATTATTTCAATTTTTTAGGAATTATAAACTCCTTTTTTTCTTCACGAAGCGAAATCCGACGCTTACTCCGGTTGTAAGAACTTTCTAATCACTACCGCGTACCCATTATTTCGTTACGATAGCCGTTCTTCTGTATCCCAAATTTACACGGCGGAATTGATGTGGTGGAAGCGGTCACCGTCAAATAAAACGGACGCCCGGAACGTTAGCGAATCGTATTTACGACCCATAGGCCCTTGCAGACTACTCAAATTCGTGACCCCCCAGGGCAAATCGAACATCGAGGAAGCGATTTCCTATTACGCCGCCTCTAGATGTAACAAGATTTTGAATCATCGCACTTTGCCTCGAGATGCGATCGCGTTTTTGCCTTTTGTCATAGCGAAGAAATTTGCCGAGGTTTTTTATTTTTTTTTACCGTTTCCCTTCTTTTAATTATGTGTTTGATTTTACAAGTTTATATTTCGACATCTCAAAATTTATCTTACCGATTATTAATATAAATTTAAAAAAATTAATTATTGCTTTTAATGTGTCTGGATGTTTATGTAATTTTCTTAAAATAAAAGCTTGAAATTTTATCTTTGTAAGATGTGAGACGGGGCAGGGGTAAGGGGTTCTAATAAAGGCATGAATTCTTATAACTCTTATAGATATTTTTCAAAATATATATATCATTCTCTATATTATAAACGTAAATATATTAAAAATTTATATTTAAATCACAGTTTAAAATGCTCTTCAAAATAACAAAATTTTCTTCAAAGATTTTTTATGTTTTTAAGATGTAAATATTTTTGAGAACGCTCAAACAGGTATTTTTGATCAAATTTTAACCTTACGATTCCAAATCTTTTACGAGTAAACCTATTGTGATTTTTATAACAAAAATTTTTATTTTTGATCTTTTAAAAAAAAATTTTCTATTACAGGATCTTCAAAGATTCTTTTGCTCAGAATTTCGGGTAAAGAAGATATTTTAAATATCTTTTTCTTATTATGGAAATTAAACATCCTTATTTCTAAATACATATGATTTCCATACAAAAATTCGTTTAATATTTTTTTTTAGTCTCTCATTCAATCCAACACGAAGAAGAGATTCTTGGCTAGACCTTCCATCAATAGACTATTCATATTGCGTAGCTTGCATACTATCTTTCAAGATATCGGGTGGTCAGATATGTTTGTTAACGATGGAGATAACGAAGACATTTCGAAATATTTTGATATCGTTGAAGCTAGTTTAATGGCAAGTATTAATATATTTTTTTTAAAAAAAACTTAATTATTCCGTAAATTTTAAATTGGGAATTTATCCAACGAATAATTACCGGATATAGAGGGACTTCGGGATAATATTTTCGTGTTTTGGACTATACAATGACGTATAAAAATACCTAGAACTGACGATGCATTTGAAAGCGTCGTTGAACGCAAATCAGCTGATGCCGCCATTTTGGTAAAACCCATATAGCAAATATTATCATGTTAAAAACTACTATTAAATTGATAACTTGCTTTAATAAAGTTTGCGTCAGCGTCAGGTATTAATATAATGTCATTGGACCATAATCTACCTCATCTAAAATGTAATTTGAATTATAATCAGCTGATGCCACCAAATTTTATCATTTATTTTATTAACAATTTATTGATAACTATTTAAAAATTTCAATTTTTAATTAAAAACTTTTGCCTACTAAATATTAAGAACTTTTTATTTTATATTTTTTCATATTTATAAGACTTTTAATTATTTTTTTTTTAATCTTTTCATATATTCTATTTTTGCATTTTTTAAATTTTAAACAAAAATACCACTATTTTATTTACTTTATTTTAACGTAGATTTTTAAAAATATCTTCTAAAATGTATATATTTTTAAAAGCGAAGTTTACAATTATATTTCCACGTCACACTCTGTACATAAATAATATCGTAATATATATTTTTTTAAAAAAATTAATAATAACCAGAAAATAAATACGTTACAATAAAAGAAATATCACAAGTTCATACTTTCTAATCAATTCTTACTACCCCTAACTTTTGAACTAATTATATTCGTATTTTTTTAAAAAAATTCAGCCATGCGACTTGTAAAATAAAAAGAAATTTTATTAAATCTATTGGGAGGGTCTCCTTTGATCGTAAGCTTTTGATGGTAAAATGGATGATTTTTTCATTCATATATATTTATATGCACGTAATTGTTCTATTATACATTTATTTAATCGTAATTATACTATTATGCATTTATTTAATATATTAGATAATTCCAAGAAATTTTTTATCAAATCCAAGCAAATAATTTTTAATATCACCTACATTTTTTTTATCCAGGTAATTTTCTATTCATAAATAATATATCAGATACTTCTAATCAATTTCTTGACAATATTTAAGATTATTATCCAACCAATTCTTATATCAGATGATATGCAATTTTTGTATCAGATGATATGCAATTTTTATATCAGATGATATGCATTTCTTATATCAGATGCAAGCACATAAATATATCAGAATATTATGATATATTATAAAAAAATTTAAATTATATTGATTTATAAGATTATTTATATTTTTTTTTCTTTTGTTATATATTTATTATTTGTTTAGGCAACAAATTATACAAAGAACTATGGTGGGGGAATGAAGACTCACAAACCACTATAAAGGAGAAAAAAGCCCTATATAAAATATGATACAAATCCAAAAACCCAGATGACAAGACAAATCACAAAAAATCCTAGAGAATAGCTACAAAGGTGGTGGCTCGGGCCAAATCTATGGCATACGATGACATGTATGAAGAACTACATACAAAAGAAGGGCAAAATAAAATATAAAGATTAGCCAAACAGCGAGAAAAGAACTTTAGGGATGTAAATGGAGCTTCGAAAGTAATCAAAAATAAAGATGGGAAATTGATAATAAAGGAAGAAAAAAATAATGAATAGATGGAAAGAATATTTTCAGGAGCTTCTCAACTTTAATCCCCACATACTACATCTAGACGAACACTCCCCATGTCAAAACCTTGTACAACCTATAACAGAACAAGAAATAATCACATGCCCCAAGCATATGAAAAACAACAAAGCTTGGGGTCCAGACATTCCAATAGAAAGCCTCTAGGAGATGATGGAATATATCTCACAAATCTGTACAATAAAATACTTGGAAATGAAGAGGTTCTCCAAAAATGGAGGCAGAGCTATCTAGTTCCTATCTTCAAAAATAAAGGGGATCCACACAATTGTCAAAATTACAGGGGCATAAAACTAATGTCACACTGTCTAAAACTATACGAAAAAATAATAGAAAAAAGATTAAGAGTCATAATCGAAATAGGAGAGACTCAGTTTGGCTTTATGCCTTGAAGATCAACAACTTATCCACGCAATTAGGCGAATGAGTGAAAAATACAGGGAAAAGAACAAAAAGCTACACATGGTCTTTCTCGATCTAGAAAAGGCCTTCTATAGAATCCCAAGAAAACTTATCTGGTGGGCGCTATGGCACAAAAAGGTTCCCGAAAAATATATAAGAATGATACAGGATATGTATATGGGCCATACAACAATGGTCCCTAGCACAACAGGTACTTCAGCAGGCTTCATAATAGCCGAAGGAGTTCATTAAGGGTCGGCTCTCAGCCCACTTCTCTTCATTACAGTAATAGATGTATTAGCACAGTCTATACCTCAAACAGTCCCGTGGAATATGATATTTGCAGATAATATTGTGATACTTGCCGAATCCAAGGATGAAATGAAAGAAAGATTAATGAGTTGGATAAATATCATAGAAAAGCACGGACTAAAAGTAAATAGAGAAAAGGCGGAGTATATGGTGATAGGAGGAGATGAAACAGAGAGTATTGATATAAATGAATGGCCAATATCGGCAATTGAAAGCTGCAAATATTAGGGCTCCACTATACAAACAAAAGGCACAATAGAAAAAGAGATAAAGAGTAAAATTAATCAAGGGTGGTTAAAGTGGAGATATTTATATGGAGTGCTATTTGAAAAAAAACCCCACACAAATTAAAGGGAAAAATTACAGTTCCATAGTACAACCAACTATTCTATATAATTCGGAAACATGGCCAACCAAGGAATCAGACGAGAGAAGTCTACAAACTATAGATATGAGAATGTTGAGGATGATTGCAGGGGTAACAAGAAAGGATAAAGTAGCAGTACAAGAATACTAAGTGTTGTAAATATTTTTTTTTTGTTTTTATAGCAAGTCATTTTGAATATTTTTGTTGTCAATATTTTTTGTCAATATTATTTTTTTTTATCAATATTATAATTTTGTCATTATTATTATGTTGGGTTATAAAAACCTTGAAAAAAGAAGAAATTTAGTTAGTTTTAGTTTTTGTTTTTTTTTAAAAAATTTATAATTATTAATTTATATTTTTTGTAATTAAGAAAATTATGCTTATAGATTCAATAACCGTTGTGATATGTTGCTATTGTAGATTCAATAAAAACCGTATATTAATTTATATTTTTTGTGTTTTGTAATTAAGAAATTGGTGCCGTGTTGATTGAACACCAGAACCTAGAGGTTAATCGCGGTACAAATATTGTTAAAACGAAAAAAGCGCTAGTACAAATAAGTTGGAACGATAAATCGTTGGGAAATTTCCAAATATTGTTAAAGCGAAAAAAGCGCTAGTACAAATTAAATTGAAACGAATAAAACGCTGTAGATTTGTAAAGATTTTTAACCAGTAAAGCGCTGTTAAAAAAAAATTGAAGAGAATAAAACGAGGGAGATACGCAAATATTTTTAGAGCGAATAAAACGCTATTACAAATATTTTTAGAACGAATAAATCGCTGGTTACATACATAATTAAAGCGAATAAGGCGCTAGTGTAAATAAATTTAGACAAATTTTTTTTGGAATAAATATTAGTTTATTAAACATTTATACCACTAGTGTGAAATTATTAGTTAAATTGTTGAAATTTAAAGCTATTTTACATTAATTTTCGTGAATTAATTATTTGAAACAGAGTAAACACGGAATAATGTGTTTAGTTTAAAATATCATACAAAGAATAGTAGTGATATATAAATTTTAGTCATTATATTTATGTATATGTGCTTTATAGGAATATTCTCAGTCCTATTCATATCTTATCTCTTAACTCTCCAAGTGATAAAAATTTTTATTATAAAAGTTATAGTTAATTTCTTGTGAATTGGTTATGAAAAGCTTAAAATTCATAAAATACTGGGAGATCCAATATAATATTCTGGGAGCACTTCTTATTTTAGTAATATGGGTATGTAGTTTAATATTTAGGAATTGATCAAAGGATGGACTGATAGTAGCCTAGGAGAGTTGAATATAAATGATAGGATTGATAACATGCAAAAAAGAGACCGTTATAGAGGGTCTAGATATAACAATCAATTGGGGCCATATAGATGGTCAAGAGAAAATTCGCAGGGAAGACGAATGGAAATAAGGCCAGGTTTTAATCCACGGGGGAGAGAAAATCTAAATTGTTATAATTGTGGAAAACAGGGCCATATGGTAAGAGATTGCCAAGAAACGAAATGTTTCGAATGTGGAAAATATGGACATATAGCTCCTTATTGCCCGGGAAAACGTGATAAATTACGTTGTGCGGGTTGTGGCCGATTAGGTCATAATAGGGAGGAATGCAATGTTGCCAATTTCAATACAAGTGGCGGTTTTCCACAGAGAGATATGGCTCAAATTGCTCCAAATGTAAGAATTCTTGAAAGCGGGAAAAATTAGGATATAGAAATATCCAATTTAACGGAGAATATAAGTTTAAATAATATATGTTTTCCGCCCTTGTCACCGCGGGTAACACGGTCCGAACTGGCCAGGCACCTCGTCTCCGCTCCCCACTACCACTTTCATCCCTTGCTCCTATGAAATTTCTTCTGCCATCATACCTTCTCACAAAAGCATGGCGGAAGGATAAACATGTTTTGAAGAGGATTATTGGAAAGAATAAAAGGAGGAGTATCCAAAATTTTAAATTCATTCAGAAAATAAATTATTAATAAATTTTAGTTGTAAAGAAATTTGTTTTTGTATTCAAGAAGTTGTTAAAAACTTAGAATGGCAGCCATCCATGAATGTATTTATTGGGAGAATATCACGATTCGAATTAGTATATTCCAGGGCAGGGTAGATGCAGAGGGAAATCGTTTGTATCCCGAATCGAGACCCATTCCCAGATCCCCGCGAAGAAGACAAGTAGCGCCATTTAAAATGATTAACGGAGGGGGGGGGCGGAAGTTCGAATTGCCCGAACACAATAATTCGGGCAGGCGCACAATAAGGAATGTTAGATTATGATTCATCTGTGGAGCCCGAGGTCACTTGCAAGTTCGATGCCCCCGCGGACCCCGCCATGCTGTTGTGAGAAGGTATGAGAAATTTCATAGGAGCAAGGGATGAAAGTGGTAGTGGGGAGCGGAGACGAGGAGCCAGGCCAGTTCGGACCGTTTTATCCGCGGTGACAAGGGCGGAAAACATACAAACAACTACTGGGGAGTTGGAGACTGAGTGACCGGTGGCGGTAGAACCGTCGCGGGAGTCAGCACCAAATTCTAATAACGACGCTGAATTGCAGGAAGAATGGCCGATAGTTGATATATCGGCCGAGGAGTTATAGGAATTGTTTATAGAACAGTAAGAAGATTTTTATTATATGTACTAGGATTTTTTTTTTGGTAGTATAAGAAAAATAAAGATAAATATATAATTGTAAAATAAAAAAAAAGGGGGAAACATATGTGCGATAATATATTTGTTCACTTCGCGTCAATGTTATTTTTTTTTTGTTTTCATGTTAGTTTTTTTTTCTCTTTATATAGCAGGTTTAATTGTAATTAATGGGAGGGGGGGGGGCGTGTTGTAAATATTTTTTTTGTTTTTATAGCAAGTCATTTTGAATATTTTTGTTGTCAAATTTATTTTTTTTTATCAATATTATAATTTTGTCATTATTATTATGTTGGATTATAAAAACCTTGAAAAAAGAAGAAATTTAGTTAGTTTATGTTTTTTTTTAAAAAAAATTTATAATTATTAATTTACATTTTTTGTAATTAAGAAAATTATCCTTGTAGATTCAATAACCGTTGTAATATGTTGCTATTGTAGATTCAATAAAAACCGTATATTAATTTATATTTTTTATGTTTTGTAATTAAGAAATTGTACTTAAGAAATTGGTACTTAAGAAACTAAGTAGTTTAAATGTAGTGCCCATTAAGACTATAATGGTAAACAGACTTAGGTGGTATGGGCACACAATGAGAAGGCCTATGAACCACATAGGAAATAAGGTTGAGTTTGGAAATGATGGGCAAACGTAAAAGAATCATATTCATGTTGATGTATGCAAGTACATCTAATTATCAATTTTTTTATATTTGTGGTATCATTTTTGTATAATCTTCTAGGTATTAATATCCATCATGATACAGGCACAAATTCTCTTTTGATGTTGGAATATATTATATATTTAAAAATTACAGTGTCAAAATATAAATTATTTATAATCAAATTATGTAAAAGTAATAATATAATTTATTTACTTGAATTTTCATTGTTAATGTCTTCCAGGTCTATAATTATATTAAAATATGATTTTAAAAAATAAATCTACTTGTAAAAGCAGGTTGAATGTTAGTGTGGTTAAATGCAAAATGTTGTATTTGGGCTTCATTTGTTAATATATCTAAAAAAGTGATTTTTAATTTATACAATTATTTTTGTTATTTGAAATTGAAGGATAAAAGTTATTTCTGGTAATGGTTGTATTTCTTGGGGTTGTAATGTTTGGGGCTGTATTTGTTGGGTTGTAATAGCTTGTTTATTCAAAATAAATATTTTATTAGTTATTTATTGATTACTAGATGAGCTACTGGGTATGTTAGTATTCTGATCTGTACAAGATGTACATTCATAATCTTTACCTAAATTAATGTACATTCATAATCTTTACCTAAATTAATGTAAGTAATCTTGATAAGTTTAGTATTAAATATACCTTCAGCTGTTAGATGATTTTGTGTCACTTCAAATACAGCTACCTACTAACTTACCTCCGCCTTTACAATAACGCCTTCTGCAGCGGTAATATACTGTAGGTTCAGCTATTTTATGCATGGTATATTGAAATAGGTTATAGCAGAGTATATCCTTACGTTTATTAGATTTGATATATTTGATTGGGTGATCTAAAAAATATTTTTTTAAAAATTATATTTAATATAATATATCATACTTTGCAAATGATTCATTTCTTCTTTTATCAAATAGTCTTATATTATCAGCTAACAGTATTAAGCATAATGTTTTTAAATGATTTTAATTTTACCGCGATTAAATAGACCAATCAGAAAAAATATGTACCAAAATTTACGATCATTCTATCTTGCTGTTTACGGTCACGAATATTATTCGAATAATACAATGTGTCTGTGTTTATGATTTGTTGCAAAACATTTTCCATTTATTTGTATCAACTTTCTTATAAAACTTGCTGTAATTTTTAACATTTTTAAAAAAAAAATAATAATTACAAGCAATGTTAAACAATCTTTTTAAGAAAGTTTATGGAAATGTTTTATAATAAATCATATTTATACTGTAATAATAATAAAAATTAATTTTATTTAATCATTTATAATCCAATCATTTGGCAAAAAAAAAATACAATAAAGAAGTTTAATATATCATCTGATTTAAACTTTCTTATGGGGAAATCTTAGCAAGTTTTTTTTTCCCCATAAAAATTTATAAAAACAATATTATGCTAAATGAAAAATGTTATTTATAAATTAAAACAAGGAACAAGACGCCTCATTACCCGATAACGCAGATCGCCATCAAAGCCCATTAAAAAGTGAATTCTTGGAAATGGACGCTGCATTGTTATTGGTTTTAAGTTCGATTGATATCCATAGGGAAATGTTGTATAAATCCTTCTCCAATATCGCGGCCTCTCTGTGCGTCGATTCATTCTATCAAGAACTCGCTGGAATTGACGAACTGTGCCAGTACGGCTACTCTAACGAGTAATTAATTTTTTTTAGCGACATTGTTACATACTCCCACATAATTTTACTGTATTGACCCACGGGAAGTATTCAGCTGCGAATGTCTAGAGGGAGGGTGGGAATCAAAAACTTCCCCCGGGCAAAAATATTTCTCTTACTGGCCAAAAAATTTGTTTGGGAACGCGTTTCTAAAGATAAATATCTAATTTTTTTTTCATTGCTCTTTACAATATGAAATTCGGAATATCGTGCTTCACTTTTCGGCACTTAATCTATAATTTAAGCAAGATCTGTTCCCGAACGTTCTTTTTCCATGTCCCCGATTTTAAAATAATATAATTCAAAAAAAAATGGCATCCTTGGAAAAAGTTTCTATTCCCGATCCATTTAGTAAATATGGAATGATCCTAAATCCTGAGAAATTTTAGGATCGTTGCGTCTCAATCTCCTACAAAGAAATTTATCTGATTTCTGATGTTCGATCATTTCTAAAGATCTATAAATTTTGAAAATAAAATTTTATTTTTTATTAATACTTTCCTGAATCCTATTATTTTATTGACCTTCAAATTCTTCCAGCCTAAAATAATGGACAATTCTTTCTTTGTTAACCATTTTTTTTTATAAACTACTCAAGTAAAAACATTCCTCTTGCCCAGTGTATCCCCAAAATAATCGAGGAGAAATAAATTATAAAAATATTATGGCGAATACCATTTAACAATCTTCTCTTTTTATATATATATTTATAAGCTCGTGGGACGTCTTTCAATCCAACTTTAAACGTATTCTCGTGAACTCACTACGCCCTGCCATGGACAAGAGTGGTTGCCAGATTGAAATTGGTTGCGATTTTTTTTTATATTGTATCTGCCTTCTATTTTTAATAATAATTTACGAATCCTTTGAAAAAAAATATGAAACAGAGCTAGAAATGCTCTAAATCATTCTTGTTCCAGGCTCTATCTACCTTAAAAAGTGCGAAATTTTTCGAGCATCATATGTAAAATAAGTTTATATAAATTGATATTTTTTACAAGCCTCAGATATTAGCGAAGTTCGATGACTACTTTTTTTGAAATTTTTTTCTGTTTATAATGGATCATAACGAAAGACGTTATACATTAAGTTTGAAATGTTACTTTATTAGGGGATAAAATTGCTCTATATATATAATAAATTTTTTAGTAAACCAATTTACTCCTTATTATTTTAGACGCTTTGATGTCGAAAAATCCTCACTTAAGACCCTTATCCACCTTCATGCACTTTTTGTATCAAATGTCTATCTTGTACCATCTTGCTCTTGACTACAACTATGTATGCCTTTTTTCCGCTCTAAATCTAGTGTTAAATTCTACCAATCAGCGCGTTAAAAATCTCAATTCTGATACGCTTGTCGTTATCGACGAAGTTATTTTACCCGAAAATAAAATTGGCACGTCAAATGGGAATGTCACTCCCCTTAACGACTCAGATGACGTTAATTTTGACTCTCGCATCCTTGCCGAAGAAAATCAAGATATTATTAACGATAAACTATTTGTCGAATGGCTAAATTATAATTCCAATCCGCCAGTCCCGTTTAGATGCGACATTGGCAAAGATGGCGGCTTGTTTGCCAAATTCGAATTAAGTTTACTAAAGACAATTCTCGAATCTTTATCACTTTTGAGCTCCAAGATCGAGCATCTTATTTATGACGGAAATAGTAATACTCCCTTAAGGTGTAATAACATACGGCCTAACAATAAACGCAAGCATTTTGATGTATTAGAGCCTAATATCGACGAATCCGTGATGTCGCATCCTAAGACTACGGCCCTATCCCGAATCGTAAGTATTTTTATACGTTATATGCCATTTCCAAACACAATGACACATACGATTTTGCGTTTTTTAAAAAATTAAATAACGTCTGATACAATTGAAGTAAGCAAGTTGTTTTTCTTTTTATTATTATATTATGCAATAATTTTAAACCAAGTGAAACATATTTACTCAAATAAATTATAAAATGAATCGTGGATTTTGAATGTTAAAAAAATAAATTGATATTGCATCATTGTCTTAAAATATTTAATCAAATGATTTTTTTAATTATTGGAGCATCATTATTTGGTATAAATACATTAATATAAATTATTAATATAGAATAATGTATTCAATGAGATTTAACGAAAAAGGATAATAAAATTATTTAGACAACCATGATCATTATTATTAGTATTGAAAATTTCGCAGATCGGATATTACATTTAACAAGTTTTCACTCTTTTATTTTCCTTTTATATTAGTTTCCTCTAACAAGTTTTCGCTCTTTTTATTTTTCTTTATTTTATATTATTTTTTTACTTCAAAACAACCGACTAACTCTTCTTTTTTTACAAAATAATAATGTAATGCTTTATTTATTTTTTTCTCTTTATATATATATTTACTACAATTAAATCAAAATAATAAACAATAATGATAATAATAATACTACGCACATTCAAAAATATTAAAAAAATAGATATACAGTGTTGTGATGATTTAATGAAACATATTGACGATTTAATTAAAACACGTGCATATATAATTATAATCTTTACAAATGTACAACAAAAGAAATAATAAAAGAAATTTCAATAATGCTTTGTCTATATTTCAATTATTTTTGCAAATATTATCATTTTATATATGAATGGGTTTGAATTTAATCGTCAATATGTTTCATTAAATCATCACAACACTGTATATTTATTGACTACAACTAAATCATACTAATAAATACTAGCTAACAAACAAAAATATTAAAAAATCGATAAAAAAAATGAATTTATATGTTAATAATAATAATCCAACTCCAAACACAACAACATTTATCCCAGAATATCTTAGAACAATTACAAACCTTAGTTGATATGACAATTGTTGTTATTGAAATATTATTTCAATTTTCTTTATATTTATTAGAATATATTATAAGCAATTACATATTTTTACAAATAAAAGCCTTGATAATTATTTATTGTGCAGTTATGTGGAATTCTATTTAATATAATTTTAAATCTTCGTAAGTTTATGTCAGCATTAATGGATTTGTACAGGTCCGAGTGAGAAAATATATGTTCAATCCAATCAAAGTTCGGTTAGGGGCCGATGAAGATTAAAACTTCTTTTTTTTTAAATTTAAAAACTTTATATTTGTCAATTTATTTATCACCCTTTTTTCTAAGATTTTAAATAATTGGTGCAACCAAACGCCGCGTACAAGATTACGGGATTCGAACGAAGGCGCATCATTTTTGCCGCCAAGGGATCACAAATATTTTATAATTGTCGCCAACATTTTTAAACCCGAAAATAATGATCTCTCAGGGAATGCCGAGAATTTATTCGACACGATCGCGAGCAAAACTTACGACGAGTTAATCCAGTCAATGAAACAATTTATGGTGACCCAACTTGGTCTAAAAGTCGAAATTTTGAAGGAGCTGGTTTGGGATCAGATGGGTTTGGGACACCTTAAATTATTGCTCAAGTAATGTTATAGTTAACTATTTTGACCAAATTTGCCTTATAAATACAAAATAAAATTTAGTTTTAATCATTATTTTGAGGTTGGATATTCGTAACTCATTAATAATATCTTATATTTTCACCAATTTATAAAGAAATATTGACGTCATCATAATGACTAAAGAAATTCGCAGACCAATGAAATTATCCGCTTTCGGGGAATTGAAAGACGCCTACCGTCTCACCGTAATACATTATAACTCTGACGTTTCCGACATTTCAAGTCCCTTCCCGTCACGAGATGATGATGATGCGTCGATACACCTACGATTTAATCGTCGGGAGGAGACCTCATATCAATACAAAGTTTCTTGTTTGATTTTGAATTGTAACTTGTATAAGAACCTATAATAATTTGAAATATTTTTTTTCTAATTAGCAAAAAGCCAGTTCTCACAAACCAACATCCCATTCTGCATTGGCCCCTTTGACAGATGTCGATGATTGCGTTTTCAACTCTGTCCTCATTGTCAAGACTGAGTTCCACCAACACGAAGATTTTCAAATACCACATTCGCCGATGAATGATGCGAAGAATAGCCTCACCCACCGCGATAATTCGGGGGTCACCTTGATCAACAGAAATTATCGTAAAATTTTTAATCGAATCGTCAATGGGTATTCTAAAAATGTTCGCTATTTCGCCGATATAATAGTGAACTGTCACACCTGCGTTTGCAGGGTGGATTTGCTCAGTTTGGGGAACGAAAACACATTTTCGGTTACGGTGAAAACATTGATAGCCCTAAGTTTGAAATATCGAGATATTTGGATATTCCTGGAATCTAATCGACAGGGCAACAACGATTGTTACCCGATGAAAGGTTACGGTGGTTTTTTTTTGAGAATTAACAGTTTTATAAAGAACGAATTTGGTGTATTATTTCTGAGTTTTTAGCAGGTATCCGAGATTTTCGGTTTTAACCGATACCCAACCACCGATATCTATTTCTCCAAATCTTTCTAAATCGAATAAGAATAACTTTTAATTTATTTTACTTTTGACAAATTTTAATTATATTAATTTAAAAAGCATAACGTTTGATGAATCGTATCTTTTTAATATTTTTTTTAATCATCATTACAAATAATAATATCTTTTTATATTAGATATCGGTGGTTATGACCTAATACCAGTTTGGTATTGTCTAAAAATGTTTGTGCGCTGATTAGTATGAATGTAACTAAGTCTGCTATAATAAGAGAGAGAAACTGCACCTTCTGTTTTGGAATTTTCTGAACATACATTGACCTAACTAGTTTGTCTTTTTTGTTCTTAATACTAAATCGAGCATTCAAATCCGAAATGCAGTATGCACCTTTTTCACATTCAAATTTGACAGCTGCTTAGAATTTTAAAAAGAGGAGATGGGATAATCTAAAAAAAAAATTTACGCGGAAACGTTTGAAGTTTTAAAGTTTCTTTTAAATATATAAAAATATTTAGGCATAATTCCTTACCTTGTAGCTAAGTTGAAAGCCCTAACTATTTTAATTCGCGATACCTCGGCTTCATATTTAAATCAACTGATTTCGCCTGATTTAACCGCGACTACCCGCCCAAAGTTGAATGATCACTTTACCACTCGTTTTAGATTTGTGGACGTATCCAGTCCGGTCGAATTTGGGGAATGGATTGATTTCGTGACAGAAAAAGCCCGCGAAATGAACGAAATTTCATGTCCGGAACAAACGCTCATCAATTACTTGCCGGATGACAGGGAATCCTTTTCGTTAGCGTCACCAACCTTAAACTCTATGCTCATTCAGGTATTTTTTTTTAGAGTGAGAGTTTAACCGCTTGATTCTAAACTAGATACTCGGGGTTAAGCCGCGCCCGAAGTAGAAATTGGCCCGGGCTTGGACCTAACAAATATTTTGTGGCGAACTCGGTTTAAAAATTCCGGGTCGAGCACGGGCCTAAAAAATGAATATCCAATATTCTTTGTTCCTCCCATCATTATGAGGACGCTTGTAACTGTGTAACTGTAGGGTCTCAAGCACAAGAATCTAATTAATAAAACTGGGTTGATTCATTCCTTTCAAGACAGAAGACCCTAAAAAAGACTTGTACCTTTTCCCAAATACCTTTAAATTAATTGTAATTATAAAAATTTCGAATATTAAATAAGGATTATAATGAGAAATTTTGTAAAATGTCGAAAATAAAACGTAATTGTTTCAAAATACTATATTTTTTATTTTTCCCATGTAAAAATCTATTTTAAAACATGCGATAGTCAATAAATATAAGTGTATAAACTTGTTTATAGTCAGGGTGTATAAATAATCGATATGATTGATTTAAGCGATTTCTTATTGAAATTCATTTTTTATTTCAATTAAACATTATAATTATCAAAATTTATCACTTACAAATCTCTTTTTGAATATTATTTAAACCTATTTTCGTAATTTAATAAAGGGAAATTATTTAGTGGTTTTTCCTAAGCCTAAGGATTAAATTATAATATGAAATTTTTAGTGATCAAATTATTTTATCTTGTATTTGTAATAGTAATATATATCAAATATAACCAGTATTCCTTTTTAAATGTAAATTTCAAGAATAACAATTTAAATATATATTAAGATATTTATCATTAAAATATTTAAAAAAGAATACTAATTTACCAGATTTCAAGTGTATTTTTAAATTTAGAATAATAACATAGCTTGAGTCGATTTTTAAAAACGGCCCGATCAAGGTTTTAGCCATAATAATTTGATGCAAGCCTCGAGATTTTTCTCATAGATGGTAAAAAGGTTTGGACACCTATTTGCCAAATATCGGGGTTAGTATAATATTATTTTAGTTAAAAATCAACCCAAATCGGGCTTTTTAACAACACTAGGCTAAACAGATCATGGCACACCGGAGTTAATTAAAGATTAAGATTATTTCTGTATTCGGCATATACAAGAAGCTCTTTAACATTATTATACTGAACTTTTCTGATTTGGTTTGATGTTTAACCCTTTCGCGCCCAGCGAGATCATTTGTCATTAAAAATTTTAATCTTAATTTTTATATTTAAAGAAACTAATGGTTGGTACTTAGAGATATTAATTTATAAAACAATATTTATTATTTCGTATTTTATCATTAACCTGTCAAAATCATTATTTTATTATATCAAAATGTCAAAATCACTATTTTATTATATCAAAGTACAAGTATTTTTTGTTCATGGGATATTCCAAGTGCGAAAGGGTTAATTATTAATACCAGGTGTGCGTGCCAGTGCCTTTTTTAAGAAAATTTGATTTTTTTTAAAAAACTTTTATTTAAAAAAATTAATAATTTAAATGCACCCTGTTTCCGAATAATCTCTTTTTTAAATAAAAAAAATACAAAATGAAATTTATTGCCTCCAAAAAAAAAGAAAATTTATAAATTATTCAATAAAAATGTTTAAAATTTTTCCAGAAACACAATAGAAAATAAGATGCAAAAAAAAAATTAGGTTCAAAAATTTTAACTGATTTGTAGTAACAATTTTTAAAATATCTGGGGTGGGGTGTTGCATTTTTATTGATGCGCATTTAAAAGATGAACCTTTAAGGTTGTAATATGTTATTGGTCACACTATGCCTCTCACATAATTTTTTAACTTGATTTTACATAATATATAAGCTGTAAAGGGCCTAAAGTTGGACCAATGTTAGTTTAACATAGAAAAAATTCATAGTAATATTATTATTTTTAAATATAAAAAAAATGGATATCGAAAGTAAATATTTGATTAACATACTTTTTTTTTTATTACATCAGATGTTATTAACAAGAATGTCATCCAAAGGTATATGCAATATCGATTTTAACCTTATTTTGAGATCCATGATGCGGGATTTGGAGGATTTTAAAGACGATCCTTTTCAATCCCTAGAAAAATTTGCCGAATCTGACATCTACAGTCAACTACTAGAACTAGTCAAGCATTGTGCCAAGCCACTTTTAGGCTTAGCTCTTTTTAACATTCACCGTTCGACTATATTTGATATCGCGAATGCCTCTTCCACCTCGCCAACTCTGTCTTCGAGATCGTTAACATACGCCGAAAACACTAGTCACGATTTTGCGATGACATTTAAAGAGGACGGACGTGATATGAATGATGGATCTGAACCTTTTACATTTGATAACTCCGTGAAAGATACGGAAGAGTTTATCGACAAGGAAGAGGAAGCGCCATTTGTTTTTGATATCATCAATATTGAATGACAATATAATCTTTTTCATTTGTTAAAAATTGTTGAGAGGATGGTAGTTATGTGATTTTTGCAAATCATAGAATATATTTCAAATGAAGTTTATTTATAAAAAATAATTTAATATAATTTGAAAGATTAATTGTAATATAAAATAAAATAAAAAACTTTTTGATAATAATATTTTTTGTAAATTATATAAAATAATGTATAAAAAAAGATTATAAGCTGTGTTCGATATCCCCTATCTTTATATTTACATTAGTTTTTTCCCCCTTTTTTTATATAATGAGGTCCATGTAAGTTGGTCCCAAAATTAGATTGCGCATAGTGCAGCTTAATCGGAACCTTTTATGGCTTTCATTTTATATTCAAATAATGTATTTTAAATAGAATCCGCGTATCAATATAGCTTAATAAGATGAAAGAACAAGCAATAAGGTTTGTAATAAATTTACGTAAAGAACTATAAATTAAAAGATTTTTTGAGGATATAAGTAGGACATATATAATTATGATTCTTATAAATAGAGCAATAACTCTACCTAATTTATTTGGTACACTCCGTAGGATGCCATAAGCAAAAAGAAAATATCACTCTGGTATAATATGCGGAGGAGTGGATAAAGGGTTAGCTTCAATAAAATTGACTACGTCTGTAAACACATCAGGACAAAAAATAAAAATAGAGGTAACATAAAACCAAAAATATCTTTATACGAAAAAGTTTGGTGAAATGGAATTTTAAAAGCAGAAGAAGGGATACCGAGAGGATTGTTGCTACCTTTTAAATGTAATAAAATTAAATGTGCTATTATTAATACTAATAAAATAAAATGTAAGAAAAGAATCGAATGTAGGGTCTCCTACAAAAAATATTATTTTCTCATATTAAATTTTTTTTTTAAATATATATACAAAACGAAAAGCGGTCAATTTTTAAGAAGTATTTTTTTTTTAATTAGCCCTTTCGCGCTCGAAATATTTCCCATGAACAAAAATTTTTTTTTTAAACTGAGTTAAACAAGACACAAATAACACATTTTCAACGTTCTTTATTTAAAAAAGTATATATATATATAATTAAGAAATGTTACCAATTGTCATCATTGGGATATTCATATGTAAAAAAACATACAATTTATTTTGAATGATAAGAAATAAAACAATTGTTTATTTAAATATAAAGATATTTTACATTTTATACATTCAAATCTTGAATAACCATTTATGCAGTTCTTGCATCTTTGTCTGCTAGCCGCCGATGGATGTTTTATTTAATCTAATCTCTGTGAATGAAAGAAAACTATTCAATTTCCTTCTTTTTTTCAATCTTCAAAGTAGGTTTACCTTTTTTTTCACCATTTTCCTTTCCAACCATCATCAATCCTCTAGCTATCGGAGCTTTAAATACCAAAGAGATGCATGTTTACTATTTTTCTATGTAGCATCTATAGAGCAACCATGAATTTACTACAACAGGAATCTAATAAATGAAAAAAAACTCGCATATAAAAATGCTTCCATTTTATGTCAGTTCTGTAGAGTTCATTTAACATATGGAGATCCACCCCGCCCATACCACCGTTATAGTCTTGAATTGTGGCCGGAATTTCAACATTGAGAATCAGATACCGACCATCTTGTTCTTGATATTGGATTTATTCCCATAAATGATGATATGGTGATAATCGATTTGTTATAAACCATTTGCAAATTATAATATTATTATTAGAATCTTATAATCAGGGGGGACCCTCTTCCTTTTTTCTTTAGGATTCTATCATACAAGTGGCATCCCGATAATCGATTAGATATAAGGGTCCCCGACATGATAAAGCCATTATCTTTGAGAACAACTGCTAAATTATACTAAGAAAAAAAGTTATCCATGTAATTTTAATGATTTTTTTGTGGGGGAACAGTTTCTAATAGTTGTATAACGATATTTCCACTAATTCCCTTCAAAGTTTTTTTTTTTATATTTGTGGAAAATATGTTTCGAAGTCATATCATTCCAGATGATCCACATAAAGCGAAAATTTTAATTCCCCATTTATGCGGTTTTGAGCTAATATATTGTTTAAATCCATCTCCCTCTGGTATATATGTTGAGGTCATCTAAAAATTATTTATAAAAAGTATAATAAAAAAAATTTCCCACTTTTTTAACTTTTTGCAAATACTATAGTGGCTTTCTAAATGGAAAATAACCTATATTCATTTCTTACTGTATCATATTTTTAATATTTAATTTTAAAAAATTTATAGGAAAAATTACAATATAAAATCCCAATGTTACCAATTTTGATTTCCTTCAAATAATCATGTAAATAATAGTTATTGTTAAATTTTTTTTTACTAAATATGAAATACTAGTAATAATCTATTATAAAAACATTATATACCTTTTATTTATATAGAATGGTTTTCGATGTAAAAGTGTAAACATTTTGGCGCGTAAAATACCAACTTTGAACTTGTATTTTGATATAATAAAATTATGATTTTGACAGATTAATGATAAAATATGAAATAATAAATATTGTTTTGTAAATTCATACGTCTAAGTAGCAACCATTAGTTTTTTAAATATAAAAATTAATTGATTAAAAATTTTGATGACATCTCGCTGGGCGCGAAAGGGTTAGGGCATTAAATGATTTTGTCACTATCACTATTTTTTTTTAATATTAATTAAACGACATTCGGAACATCCTTTAAAGATAAAGCGCACTTAGTTATTTCCGGTTTAATTTTATAAATATGGTAATTTATAATTTGTTCAAATAAAAAACATTTGCATTAGGCTCGAGTATAAAAAAAAATTGGGCTGAACCTTAGTGTCGAAATTATTTCTATTTTCTTTAAAGTTAATTTTTAAATAAATATTTAGAGATATTTGTCATCGCCTGGATTTAAAAATTTTTTAATTCTACCCTGGATTTTTTTTACCCTAGCTTGGATTTTTACCTTCGATCATTGAAATGGGGAATCAAATTGAGCCAAAAAAATATTTGAACTGATTAATTTTTATAACGAAGATTATTTTATCATTAATGAATTATAAATATATGCAAAAAAAAATTATTGGCTGAGTGATATCAAGTGAAGAGTTGACGTTTGATTCCTAAAGGTTTTTAAGACCTATTTATCTAGCCAATATAAGCTAGATATTTGTACTAAGTGGTAGTATTATATTAAATATGGGTCAGGGTATATCCCTGTTAAATATTTTTGAGTCTGGCTTGTCCTGAATTCTATATTTATATTGCCCAAATTTCTATTTTGAACCCGGCCTAAATTTTTAATTTAAATTATATGTTAAACATTTTAATGAATATAAAAATTCCTACTTAAAATCACCTTATAACGTGTAAATTCTAATTTTTATTTTAGAAAATATCATTTTTTTGAATTATACTTCAAGTGATTTAAGGATATGTCAATCTACAACATTATTAGTATGCTACATGATGGAAATAAATTAACTATTACGCCAACAATTTTTCTTATATTAAATAGTTATTTATAAAATGCAATACTAACATTTCTTTAACACCTCTATCGAGCGCCGATTCTGTGAGGTTATGTTATATTATAGAAATTGATAAATTAATATATTATATATTTTGGTTAATAAATAGTATATGTTTATAATGTAACGCGCATTCATTAATAACTTATTCAAATTATATTTTAATTTTAGTTATACTTTTATTTTATAACTTAACCTTTTTAATATTATATTCTAATTTTAGTTTGTAAAAGTATATAAATAGTATATTGAAAAAGTAAATAAATGAACATCTTAATACATTCTTTATTTTAGTGTTCCGAGGACTTCTTTCTTTCTTCATCGAGGACGTCTTTCTTTCTTCAAGGTGCCCGGCTCTGGGTGGTGGACTTGAATGAGATGACCAAGAACCAAAAAAATTCCCTAGCACTTTCTTTCACGCTAAAAGCTTCTTTCTTTATGGTGCACCAGCTCTGGGTGTTGGACTGGAATATGATAACCAGCACCTAACCTAATGTGACAACCTAGAAAGAACTGATATGGAAGTTGGGCGATAGGCTATGAATTCTATATAGTGAGACCAATGATGATTTACTAATAATTCTAAAATCCATGAAAAAAGAAAAGTTATTATAAATTAAAATTATATGCCGAGATTATGTTATAAATTAACTTATTAAAATAACTTAAATGTAAATCAATCATAATGTACATATTTGAATACATAAAAAGCCTTAAAAAATATTTACTTAGTAATGAATTAACAGTTGAATTTCTTAGTGAAATGCCTATTGATATTTTTCATATTTTTGATTTCTTGAATTATGACCAATTGTGGTAATTAACTGAATTACCTAAAGATGAATTCTTAGATACAATAAAAAAATATTTACTTAATAATGAATTAACAATTGAATTTCTTAGTGAAATGCCTATTGATATTTTTCATATTTTTGATGACCAATTGTGGAAATTAACTGAATTACCTAAAGATGAATTCTTAGATATAATTAAAAATATTACAAAGTTAAACTATTAAAAATCCTAAACAAGAAGATAAAACTATAATTTTAAGTTGTAATTGAAACATATGAATTAAAAGATAAAAATCATATGATGGATTTAAAAAATTATAAAATTAATATAACTCTTATTAAAGAAGACTCCATATTTATTTATTAAAAATATTTCATATTTATTCATTCTAAATATCCCAAAAGACATCTAAAGAAAGCTCCCATTGTTCCCTCACCAACCCACGTGATGATCCTGTCCTTTTTCTCCACCAAGGAAAACTTAATTCCCCTGTCAGAAAATAACTGACATTTGATGTATTATATTAAATTTATTTCTTCTTTTTTTCAACAGCGAAACACTTATAAGTAATACTTAATGTGATAAAAAGTTTTTAAATTTAAAGCTTTGAAGACAAGAGGTTATGTAAAAACTAAATATCCTCATTTTAGAAAAATATTTAAAGGTGTATGAGGAGATCATTTTCTAAAATTAAGAATTATTATTTTAAAAAAACACTTTTTGAATTTTTACTAGGGTATGAAATTTAAATATTTTTTTTAAAGAGAGGGAAATGTGCATAATATTTGCATAAATATTAATATATAAATAAAAATAAATTTAAACACTAAAACGCGAAAAAATAAATTGGACACTAAAACGCGAAAAATTAAAACGCTAAAAATATTATATAACAATCTTATTGATTTATCATTCTTCATTTATTCTTATATCCAACTTGATGAATTATTATTTCTAATTATATTTGACAAACTGATGATTAGGGAAGGTCAAATGTCAGGTCCTATCGGTCTTAGACAGGGACCGGACCGGACTGATTGTCGGACTGATCTTTTTTGAGGACCGTGCTTCGGATTGATTTTTTATCTTTTACGGGCCGGACCGGTCTTTTATTATAATTTAAGTTTGCTTTACTATTCAATTAATATGATTTTTTGTCTATTTTATTTTATGATATTTTTCTAGATGAGTTATTTTAGATTTTGTTGATTTTCATTTTACAATATGAAAACCATAAGTTTGTCCAATAAACATTTTACTTATAATCACAATAAAAAAAATATAGAGTATGTGTTCACTGCAGTACCAAATTTAATGTATCGTCAGCAACAAGTAACAAAATAATTGTTTATAATTTTTTAAGCAATAAATTAATCAAAATAAGCAGTTTTATTATAAAAATATTTTGGTTATTATTTATATAGTTCTATTTTTTCTAAGAAAATATCTGAATAATTCATTGTCAAAATAACTTAACCTTATTCTTAATAAAAAAATTAGGTACCTTAAGCAGACATCTGATATTTATTATAGTTATACTTTTATTTTATAACTTAACCTTTTTAATATTATATTCTAATTTAGTTTGTAAAAAGTGTATAACATGTAGATTGAAAAAGTAAATAATTTAACATTTTAATACATTCTATATTTTAGTGTTCCGAGGACTTCTTTCTTTCTTCGGGTTAAAAGTGTTTTTTAGTTATATGAGGGCATTCCTCCTTCATTCATATAATTGAAAATATTTTATTTGTATTCAAAAACAAATTAGTATTTATATTATTTTGAAAATATGTTATATAATATTTAGTTATATTTTATTATAAATGTATAAAATTTTTCCAATATTAAAAAAAAATATTTGAAATGCAACGAAGAGAAAAATTTCTTTTATCAGGATCTGAAGAACCTTTTTAATATTTTCATCGGTATCGATTAAATCTTCTAAATGTTTTAGATGTGAATGGTAATGTTTTTATTACCATTCATTAGTATTAAATTAAAAAGAAAAGATAAAAATAACAATAAATAATTTATTTTAAAAATATATAGAATAAAAGGGTAATTTATTAGACATTATTCCGATGTAATAAATTGATACCTGTCAAACTTATGTCAATTTACGATTTTTAGCAAACCTTTAAATTTCATTTAAATGCCCAGATTTAAAAAAATTGGTGCGCCTCTTTTTAAATACAATGGTAAGACATTGTATGAAATCTTAGCTAATCTAAAAAATTTTGGGATTAATCGTATGGTTAGTAGAAATCATTGGCTGAATTTTCCAGAAAAGAGTTATGTTTGCATAACTAGGGGTATCCCTGATTTAAGAGATGAGGTTACTTTATTTTATGTATTTAAACTCAAAAGTTTTTAAGGATTTTAATCGAGGAAAAGTATATGGAAAAATATTTCATAGAAGTAATTTGAAATATATGTCTTAAATACAGTTTTAGCTTAGATATACCTGCAGATTCTGAGACCCTCGTCAAACAAGCATTTATTCCTGATTGGTTTTTAATACCTAAACATGATGAGAAAAATTATTTAAGTTCTCTACTGCCACCAGAACCGGCTAAAATTAATAAATATATAACAATTCCTCCATTATTAAAACTACTGGTAATGTGCTTGTTCATAAACTAAATTTGATTACTTTTTTTTAAATAAGACATTAGAATATAGCAAAATTATATTCATTCTATCTCAAATTAAGTATAATTTTTTTAAACTAAATTAGCATATATGATTCTATTTGAATAAATTTCAGCCTCCTATCTGTTTTATTTTTAGAGGTATCAGGGGTTAAAGGATGAAAAATTTGTATATTATTGTTTATTTAGTTGATAGACGGTTTGAGTTAAATTTTTTAAACTGCTAACTTAATATATCTAGAAAAATAATACACTAGTTTAACAATTTTGCTCATAGATTGCATAAAGGCCAACATCTATTAATATTGAGGCTATGTAATATTTTTCTAGCTATAATATTTATATAAATCAAGCCTTAACACCACTAAATTAAATATTGATTGATTAAAAAATACATATTTAGAAAATAAATTTTTTTTACCCAGTGTCTATTTTTTTTAAACTAGTTTTTATCTTTTTATACCTATGATGTTAAGTGGCATCTATTTTTTGTATTCTTATGGAATGGTAATAATTAGGCCTGTGCCACTATTAAATATTAGCTTGCTGTCGATATTTAGCATTTTCAAAAATTATCATGTCTGATCTATGTTTTTTAAAAAACCAATCTGATATTTTTATGTTTTAGGTATTTTATGATTATATATATATTATAATTTTTATATTTATAAATAATTTTATAATAATAAATTAATGAAAGGAACTTAAAAAAAACCATTTATTTGTTGCCAAAAAATTTTGCACTATTTTTTGATATATTATTCAATTTACGGGTGATATATAGAGTGTTCTTAAGTGGCTCTATTTAATTAAAAATGGTTTACTCAAGATTTTAGCCAAAAAAATTTCTCAAACTTATTTATTTTGACACAAAAATGGCAGAAAGGTTACCTTTTATTAGCAAAATTTTGAGATTTAGATAATATTTTATCTAAAATCTTGATTTTTTTTTAAAGTAGATAATATTGATATTTTTTATAACATTGGTTGTGATAAATATAAATCAATATAAATGTATCTTTAGTAATATTGCAAAATCGAATCAGTGAAAAATTTGTAGTGGCATGGCTACTAATAATTTGTTTAAAATTTTATTAAAATTTGACTAATTCATTTAGTGTTTACAGTTGCCCTAAAAAAATTTGAACATATTTTCTAAAATTATTTAGTATACCCTTTAATTTTATTCAATTTATTATTTACAGGCATTTCGTTTTTAATCAATTATTTGGTAAATTAAAACTATGTTCATAAAAAAAGGCCATTTTTTATGTGTCTCCCTCTGATATCTCCAAAAGTAAGTAAATTACCCAAATATAGGTTACACGACCTAAATATTTTATATAAAATTTAAAGGAATCAGCAGAGTGGAATATATTATCCACATTGAAATATTTATTATATTATTTTTTTAAATTTTAATAATTTACATAGATGATAAGGGAAATGGAGGTAATGGGCCAGAATGCTGATATCGAACCTAAAATTAAAAGAGTTTTGGGCAACAAACATCGTTGTACATTAATAGAATAGTTATTACATATATAATCTCCGTATGCTTATATTTTAATAATATATTTTATTCAAATATCCTTGAAAAATTATATTATTACAAACATTATTTATTAAACATAATAAAGAAAAATTACTATTCTTCTGAAATACCATATAAACATTTAAGGGTATGTCTAAACTTTATATCAAGCAAGTGAAGATAAAATTTTATTAGTTGGGAATTAACAAGGTTAACTAAACAGATAAAAAGAAAATATAAGCAGTTTGGATCAAATAGATTTAAATCTGATCATTTAAAAATAAGCAACAATTGTTTTGTTAAAAATTTGATTGTTTTTGGTTTGACTATCTCAGATCATAAATCAACTCCTTTAGATGAATCCACATGTTCACCCCTACTTTATAAGCATACAACTGCCAATTATAAATTTGCATCCTTCATTCATTTTTCAAGTTTTTTTGCTCTAAAAACTTTCTACCTAGGCGTAACAGGTGGTCTGGGATACCTTCAGTGTTTTTTGTTTTAGTTATTAAAATCAATCCAACGAGCAACACTCTTAATTGTCTAATCTTTTTTTCAATAAAATTCTAATATCCTTTCACCAGCGTCTACATGACAGGATTTTCACTGGATGCAAACCCCCTTCAAAAACCTTTGCTTACCTCCCCCCCCTTAAAAATTCCTGCCGCCGGGCGGTGTCTCTTTATCACTATTTTTACCTATTTATTTATTGATACTCTTTTCAAAGAATTTATAAAGGATAACCTAAATTAATCTATCTCTACTACCAACTATCGTATTTTATGAATATAAAAAATTTATTTTTTAGATAATAAATTCAATTAAAACCTCCATTATTTACAATAAATTTATTATTATGGCATTATGAGCTTGCTGAAATATCTAAACCTTTTAAATTACATTTAAAAGGATAGTTTATTTGGAAAACCATGTGAATGATTGTTTATAATATATAGATTTGGTCGATGAATTGTATTATAATAATACTATAATAAAAGCATTAATTTTTACAGCAATAAATTTTGTCCTATTTCATCTCAAAATTTAATAGATAACCCCCCAAAAATATTATCCTACCCCCATTAAAGCAGCTTACCCCATACCCCCTCAAAAAAATAGGATGCAAACTGTTCCTACCCCTCCCGCTCATGTAGACGCTGCCTTTCACCAATAGAGCCTGTTTTGTTACCTTAACCAAACTAGATGACGGAACTGCTCCATCGTTGTAAATATGATGCTAAAATTAACGAGTGGATTAAACTGTAACTTTTTGCCATCAAAGGCAATTTTGCAAGCGTCTTCATTGGAGAATAAACTTGAATCAATCATGCCTAGATTTATTAACTTGAATCAATCATGCCTAGATTTATTAACTTGAATCAATCATGCATAGATTTATTAGGTTTCCCCTCAAGATATTTTTATTTCGTACACCCCCCCCCCCATTCTGAGATATATGGAGACAAATGGTTCCTATCCTCCCATTCATATACGGGGAAGTTGTGACATTTAAGTGATATATTTTATAGTTTCGGTTCAACACTATCAGACGCATAGATTTTATAATATATATATATATAAACTCCTCAGTCATAATTGATTCTGTGAAAATTATGTAAGTATTATATAAGACTTTCCATCTATGAATAATCAAAAAGCTTGTTTTATTGTTAATGAATTGAAAATTATTTATTGTATTTTTTATTGAAATATTTCGTAATAATTTATATTATCTTTATATAGAAAAATAATAATTAGTATAAACTTGGTTCATCGCATGAGGGAAGGGGGGGGGGGTACTAGATCTAAAGCCTTTGGGGATACAACTGATAGTGAAAATTTTATTTGTGCCACGGTTAAGAATCTAAACAACTTGTGTTAGAACCGTATAAAGTTTTAGATAGTAAAAGAATATTACAAATCTTCTGAGAGTATTTTTATAGTTGATATGAAAATTAAACTTGGTTTTGAACTAGATAAATGGTTTTGGATGTTAAATGTTTAAGAATTGTTTGAATTAATTAGTGCCAATTTTTACTCCGCGAGGGTAAATAAACTTTTTAAGTTAATAAAATAATGTAGTTTTAATTATATTTAAAATGAAATTAATATATAAATCGACTCGGATAATGAACTATTAAAATTATTATAGAGAAATAATACATCTTTAGTAAAGAAAATCTTAACTATTTTTTAAATATTTAAAACCGTTTCTATCAACACCTCTTGAAAGGGTGTCCTGTTCAGTACAGCAAACAAGTTTGTCCTAGAACCTTTGCTATAATTATTTCTGCCGTTTAATTATTATGAATTCAATATTTTGTGGATATTAAGATTAATTCAGATGCAGTTTTAAATATTAATTCTTCTTTATGTAAAAAATGATCGTATATTATATGGAAATACTTAGTCAGAACTAGTGTTGTTAAACCGTTCTATTTGAGCCTATTTTTAAAAAACGACTAATTCAGTATTTTATACACTAATATTATACTGGCCTGAAGATTTTGCTCATAGATGTGACTAAGATTTGAATTGCGGTTTTTTAAAATCGTGTCATTTAGCAACACTAGTTTGAACAGACAATTAAAATCATTGTGAATTGAAAAATATTAAATATTGATGTGGCAATACTTAGTCAATTCAATATTGCAAATTAATGGTTAAATTTATAAATTTCTTAAGGAAACATATTTAATATAATACAATAAATGCCTGCTCGATTAAATAATTTGCCTCTGGAGTTTTTTTCCTTTAGATATAATTTGAATTTAAAATCAAATAATCAATCGATTTTTTTTATTTTTATTTTAAAAATCATAACTTTAGTCAACCCTAATTATAGGATCAATAACTTTCTTTTTAAAGAATCTATTCAATTTGAACTTAAATTGATATCATTTAAAAAAATATTAAAATTTAGCACAAAAATTTTAAGCAGGTATAACAAATTTATTTTTAGAATTATATAGTTTCATTTAAGTCTTTTCACCTCCCACGTTTAATCTACAGAAAAGACTTTGATTATTATTATAAATGGTTGCTAAGTGGTGCTGTTAAAGTGAGCCGATTTTTTAAAAGAGCTAACTCAATATTTTAGCCAGAAAAAAATTGCCTAAACCTCGAAATTTTGCTAATAGCTGTCCAAACTTATGTGCCATCTATGATCAAAATATTCAGGTTTGAGTAATATTTTTCTGGATAAAATATTAGAAGCTAGTTCTTAAAAATTCAAATGCTATTTTTGAAAAATATTTTTCGAGATGTGGTTCTGCAGTATACAAGGCATCTAGCGTTAACGACGATCTGATTAAAATTCAAATAAAGAACCCCCCATCCCCCCCCCCAACCTTGTTGCTAAGGAAAAAATTATTTTAGAATACTTAAATTTTAACTTGTTGATTTTATATATTAAATTTTTATAATATTGTTCAATAGATATGCTCTTATTATTTTAATAAGACTATGATCTAAGTATATTTTAAAAAAAAACCTCAAATTTATAAATTATCATAACTTTATAAAATTATGAAACATGTCCAAAATCTTCCATTAAAATTTATTCAAAATTATGTAAATTTATAATTCATACCAAATTATTTTTTGATTTAATTTAAATATCTCACATTTTGATTAATATAACTGCCCATTTCTTATTATAATTTGAAAAATATTACTAACTTTTTTTTCGTAAAAATTTTGCAACTATACAAACTTTAAACTAAAATTTATTAATTTTACTAACTAAAACAAATGATTTAAGACCACTATTTTATTTTTAAATTTAAAAAAATAAGCATATTTACTTTTTTTTCGATAAAGTTACGAAAATTCATTAATTATATTTTTGACATTTAGGTCACACAAAAAAAATCTAAGGTCAGATTCATTTTATTCAAATAATTTTAATAAATCTAGAACCTTTATTTTTTTTAGAGTCGTACCTAAAAATAGAAACCAGACACTTAAATCTCTGATAACAAGCCAAAAAAAAGGATATAAATTTCATGGGAAACTAAAATTAAGGAAAATTTGGAAAGAAAACAGATCTTGCATATCAAGGTTTCTTGAAAATATTTATCAGAGATGTACAGGCCCGCTCCGGGGATTTTAATTTTTTTAAATATACCCGCGCCTAAAAAATATTATTTTAAAAGATACCCGGGCTAAGGCCGTATTTTTTAAAACCGAATATTTTAAACCGCCATTATTACCTATAAAAATAAATGTAATATATTTTTTAAAAATTCGTACCGGGCTGGGCCTGAAAAAAATTACTTGGCACCTCTTCAGGTCTCTGATATTAATTCTATAAATCTGAGAAGATGAGAATAGGTGTTTTCTTAAATATTTCATGTAAAAAGTTAATCTTAAGAAGATTGTTAAATTACTTAATTCTCGATATTCAAAATTCTGATTTGGAATTCTGGCAAAAATAATTAGAATTCGATATATTATTTTCATAAAAATAATTAAATTCGATATATTATTTTCATAAAATATATTAAAGATTCTATTTCCTTTTTTAAGAAGCAGGAAAAGATTTCCCATATTAGAAATATACAATTATTTTATTTTTGAATAAAATTTTCTCTTTTATCAATATTACATTTTTTTTTTATTTATCATTATTCCATTTTAAATTATAAATTATATAAATATAAATTGTGCAAATTCTTGAAATCGCCATTTCATATCATTTATCTTTATCACAAATCTCGGTCTTTTGTATTGTAGATTCAAGATTTGTCTGTTAAACATAATTACATGCTAAAATTTTGTAATTTAAAATAAATAATTAAACTTTGTTGTAAAGCTGGGTAAGTTTTCCGTCTTTGGCCAAAATTTTCAAATATTCCATAATGAAAGGTATATAGTTATGTTTCCTTCGAATGTTTTCAATCTTAAATAAAATGAAAGTATTCATTCATAATATATATATTTTTTAAAAATACTATACTTGATATCTCTGCATTTTTTCATCTTCCTCAGCTATAAGCATGTGTAATTTGCTCATTTCTGATTGAATGTCATCAGTTTCCATAGTCCCATCCTGTATATTTAATATATTGACAGTTAGTTTATACGATTAAGAAAGATAATATTGTCATGAGAGTATATAAATATATATAAATAAATATACTAATAAAGATCAAACAAAAATTATTTTAACCCTAATTTACTTAATATGAGTCCTCTTAAAACCATAATGTTTTGAAATTTGATTTTAAAAACTATTTCCCATCATTCATATGAGAGAATTTTTAAATAAAGATTGTGTCTCGATAAAAGCTAAAAAAAAAAAATTTATTTAAATATCCGTTCTTTTTTTGTTTTTTATGCTAATGATGGGCTATTAAATGATATAATTATATATATATAAATTCTGTGGGGAAATAGGAAATTTGCAATTCAACTTGGTTTCCTCCGTTTGATAAAAATTATTTTACTGAAGTATTTATTGCCTACTATAAGAATCTACCTCGCTGAATATAAAATCAATATAAAACTTGCTAAATTATATTTTTTATTGCCCAATTTAAAATACTGCCAAAAGTCAAGAAAAATGCTAACCATTTTAATCAAAAAAACATCTATTTCAGAGGTGATTAGCACTGAGTTACCACCCAAATATATAAAATTTATTTATTCTTGAACATAACTTTCCTTTCAATGTTACAAATAATAATAATATCAAGGAACAAACTAGGATTATATAATAACATTTCCGGAGTTGGTAATTTTTCAAATAAAATAAGTTTATATTGGCTGGCTTATAGTCCTTCTCCTGTGTTTCTTAAAATGAATTAAATATATTTAAAATTATAACATTTATAAAAAATTAATATTTATTAGTGTTAAATAGTATATTTTTTTGGTAGCGTTTAATTATTTGAGAGATAGCAAAGATAGTCCTTGGATTAAGGTCTTCATTCATTTTTAAAGCAAGCACTTCTAATCAGTAATGTGTTGTAAACGTACGAAGTTCGTATAGAACTTTGAACGTGAACGCGTTCCTTTTTTTATGACGAACGAGTTCGTTCAATTTTAGAAAAATTTATTTTAAGAAAAAGTCTTATTTTTAATCAGCTGTTTCCTTTATCACATTTGAATTCTTTTTTTTTATAAACAGTACTAATTCTGTCCTTAGTTTCTTCCACGACTAAAATATAATAAATGCTTCACAGAAATTTTCACATATTCTATAAGCTAATTCAAGCCTTACCAAATGTAAAATGTCTCCAAAAAGAATAAATCTTCAAGATCTAGATACTTGATTGTAATATTTATTTTTTTATATAATTAAAACTATAAGTATACTGTTAATAATTTATTTTAGAATGCTGTATTTCATAGGCTTATTAAATTATGATTATTATAAAAATCATTAAATATTATATAATATGCGTTAAAATTTATTTATTTGTAATGCGAGTATTTGAAATTTAGCTATTATTTTTAAGTCTTTATCGTGGGTTTTATATTTTAATAGTTGAACATAATTTAAAGTATAGTTAAATTTATATATTTTATAAGTAATTAAATTTTATATGATATAGAGAATTTTATATAGGTCGTTTCGTTTTTTTAGAAATGTTTTACAGCACTAGTAGTGATTTGGATAAATACTTTTTTTGAAAATTTATAATCAGATACAATTTTTAAAATCAATAGTATTATTTAACATAAAAATTTTCCACTGTTATTTTTTGTCCGGGATTCAGGCTGATATAAATGTAGGGAACAGAATAGCGTTCTGATATTCATATTTATTGTTATATAAATCATCTTTTTAACCTTAGTGGCATGGGGGGTAGGGGGGGGGGAATACCCCTCCCCCTCCCTCTTAATAGTAAATATAATGTGGTTAAATGATCTGTTTTCATAGTATCTATTGAAATCTAGATGAAAAGTGAATTATGGAAACAACCTCCCTTTTTCTAGAAAAAAATTTGCTTTCACATTATGTTTTTTTCCAATTTTAGATTGTTCTAAAACCTCTTCCATAATTTTCATCTATTTCTATAAAAAATCTACCATGTTTTCTTTCCAAGATGTCATAAATCTACACTATTTATGCTATCTACTAAATTATAAAGTATCAAATCAACCAACCGATTTATCAATTCTCATATTTTAAGATTGCCCTATTTAATCGTTTAGAATTAAAACGGAAATGCTCAAAAAAAAATCCTCAAACGTCGAGAATAAATACTCAACGTTCAGAAAATACGGAATATAATCTTTTAAAAATATTTTCGTTATTTTAGCGGCGGGGTTATTTTTGACAATTTTAAAAAAAAATTTCGGGGAATTATTTTCCAATATTTAATTTATAATCTAAAAAATGGGAAATTTATTTCCGGGGAATAGAGAAATTTTTTTCCAGAGAAATTATTTTCTGGTGAATATTTTTCTCGCGGGGAATTATTTTCGCTTAACCTTTCTGGCAAATCCAGAGCCATTGGATTGACAAGCGACACTATTATCAACTAGGCGACTTACACTATCAGAAAATCACGATTTTTTATATATTATGATCAAATTGGACAGTCTCTATCCAAACGAAGAATAAAGAAAAAACCAATTAACTAAGGACTGCCTTGAATTGTCTCTATAAACTCCAAAAATCCCTGTGTATAAAATATCAAATAAATTGGTAAGTGAAAAATAATTCCCCAGAAAAAAAAATCCCCAATAATATTTTTCACCAGAATTGATTTTCTCAAAACTTTTAGATATTTTATTTGAGGATTTTTATTTCGTGGATATATTTATAGGGAATTTTTTCTCCTATTTTATTAATTTTGTAATTTTTAATATCTTAAAAAATGGGGATTTTTTTCCAGGAATTATTTTTCTAGATTCTAATAATTGTGTCAATTGTAAAATTATTAAGCCTAAAAAAATAATGTTTTGCAATTTATATAAATTGCTTCAATAAGATTACCATATAAAAACTTAAAACCCAAATATTATCTTGAAAATTAATAAATAAAATATGTGTCTATGACCCATGTTAGGTGTGAATGCTATTCCAAAATAAGATAAGTAAATGAGTCAATAACTTTTCAAAATATTCATAAATTAAATTAAAAAATTAATTTTTAATAAAAAATAGTAACTCAATTCAACACAAGCTATAAATTATTGTAGTAATGAAAAGTTTCAACAAACCATTGGTAGAATATTTCCCAAAAGGAATATAATAATAATATAAAAAATATATTGTTTTTTCATCCCTATGACTAATTCTTGACAGTAAAATATTGAATTTTAGAGAATAGTAGCTAAGCCATTTTTGATGTTATATCAATACTCATATATTTTTGGAATGGTTTGTTATAATTTAAATGTTGTGTTTTAAAATCCCTGCATTACAAGAATAAAAGGGCTAAATAAACAACTTTATAAATAGTTTGCTAAGTACCTTAATAAATAAGTCTTAAAAGAATATATAATATAAGGTATTAATAGTAAATTACATTCAAATTAGATTCCAATTTAATCAATTCCCTCTTGTATTTTTCTTTGAGATCAGATACAACAGCCATCAGATTGAAGTGTATCTCACTTTCATTGTATCTAGAAATTATATGGGTAAATTATGATTATCATAACAAAATTAAATTCAGAACTATTTTACAACCATTTAAATTTTAGATATATCAAACTTTTTCATCCTTTGTTCTATTATTGGCTTGACTTTACTTATCCAATCTCCATCTTCTGGCAAAGAACCTTTTTCATAGATATTATAATAAATATTATCATTAAAGTAGTGGATTATTTAAAACCTACCTAAGTCAATTGGAGCATTTTTTAAACCATCCAACTCATATAGATGATTTTCAAATGGAAGATAACATGTAAAATGAAAAACATCCTCTTTTTCATCATTAATTTTGTCATCCATTTCAAAAATGTGGTGTCTAACAATCTTATTTTATATATAATTAAAATATATTATATTACTTTGAAAAACTGTTATGAACATTACGTATTGTTTCACAATTTGTTAGGCATACACCTTTCAACTAATATTAAAATTAAATTAAATATATTATATTATATTAAATATTACTGAAGGTAAAAAGTTTTCACTAAAATTTTTGAAGTTATTTAATGTTTCACCTAAATCTATGCTATCACCTCTACAATTAAGAAGAATATTCAATATTGCCTGAGTAGCACAAGCATTATCAACAACCTTTAAAATTAGTGATATATAAATGATATATAAACATCTTAATTATAGCTAACCTGCTTAGCAAAATATATCTTATCAACAGCTTCAACTAAAGAAGAATTGTCATCTGATAATATTTCAGGCTTCCATTTAAATAAAAATATTAAACCATATACAGGCCTATAATTTTTTTTTAAAAAAATCTAAGGATTCTAAAGTATTGCAAATCAAAACTTTAATTTGTCAAAATTTTCTTTATCTAAGCTCCATAATTCTTCAACTTGAGCTCCCTTCACACCTAAAATTGATAATATTTATGAATAATTAATTATTATTACCATATCCTTTTAAAAGATCTGTAAAAACTCCAGGATCACTCTCAATCAAACACCATTTCCCAGTTTCAGTTTCAGAACTCATGGATTTTAAATGAATAAATGAAAAGATTCTTACAGTTAATATATTTTAGTGCTATATCTTGACTAGGTATAAAATAATATATAATTATGAACCTAATAACTAGTTATAGTTAAGTAACTAAGAGCGCAAGAGTTAGTGGTGTATTGCTTAAAAATTTGGCGGGGAGGTGACTGCAATTTTTGTATATTTTCAAAAAATTGGATTTGTCAAACGCCAGTCAACTCCAAAGGCCGTCACTCTTTACACTGCAAGCGCTGTAGAGGCAGATTCATTAGACATTCAAAATGCAATGATACTATTGCCAGGGCCCTAAAATCTGCCGGTATCCCATCAACCCTAGAACCCACTGGACTCTACAATTCTGATGGTAAGCGTCCCGATGGCTCTACCATGATCCCTTGGAAGAGGGGGGAATTTCTAACCTGGGATTTCTCATGCATCGATCTCCTTGCCCCTTCCAATATAAATAGAGATGCTCTAGTAGACGCCGAGACGAATAAACTCGCTAAATATTCGCCATCGCTTACGGCCAATTACACATTCCTACCACTAATCGCCACGACTCTAACATCGTTCGGCTCTCACGCCCTTGCCTTCTTTAAGAAGAGCTGGGGAAACGGATCTCTACTAGGACCGAAGATCCCAACGAGGGTTACTACCTACGCCAAAGATTAGCCCTCAATATAATAAAATCCAATTACCTCAGCTTCATATTCTCAATGACTGATACCCCCTAATTACTTACAATTTATATCTAAATTTTATTCATTAATTAATATTGAATTTATGATTTTATTTTTATATTTAGTATTACATAAATTACTAATATCTTAAATGTTCTATTATATGATATTCTAACTGATTAATATAATATATTGTATTTAATTAAATAAATATTGATTAGTATCTTTAATAAAAAAAAAAAAAAAAAAAAATTTAATTTTTTATTATTAATTTGAATAAATTTTTATTTATATCATATTTTAAAAATAATGTTACAAATTTAATCTCACTGATATCTATACAAATTAAAATATACATGAATAGGAATTTTTAAAAAAATCTATAAATTTTAGCTATTGATGAAATTCATAAGATGCAAAGTATTTTCACAATCGGGCAGTAAAGCCTCATAAAGTTTTACACCGTTAAATGTTTTACATTTTTATAGGGAATATCTTCATCTATATATTGTTGGGTTATACAAATTTATTGTAAATCCATGGCAGATTACTTTTATTTGGTCTCACCAAATCATGCATCTATGTTCCTAGGCCCATTTAATTTTTAAATGAAAAATATATTGGAAAGAATTTCAAAAAAAAATAAATCATTTTATTATATTATTTTACCCTCGCTTTCTATTCATTAATCCAGACTGAATTTATAGCTAAATCAAAAATAACTTATAATTTTTTTTTAATTTTCCTTCCCCCCACCCATAGCAATTTCCTTTTTACCCACCTGCGCTTCTTCCATAAAATGTGAATCAAAATGAGAGTTATATATTAACTAATTATACATAATTTATAATGCATCGTAGAAATAAGTTGGCCAGAGAGAGGGCAAGGGAAACCCCCCCTTCATAAATATGGCACTTTAATTAATATAATTTTAAACGGATATTCTCTTTAGTCCCCCTCACCATCCCTTCTCCCCATGTATACATAGATCTATATTATAATTTCTATGTCCTCGCTACGTCATGTCATCATGAGGTCATGTCATAATTTGCTTGGTCGTAAAATTTACCATCCTTTTATGTTCTCAGGCCTGCTCTAAGCACGAACCCGGGGTTTAGACGTGGGGTCCAGACCCGGGGTTCAGACCCACAATTAGGATAAGACTCGGATAAATAAAGAGTAAGAAAAAATAAATCTCATTTACTAATATTAAATTACATCTTATACATTCTAAATTAATAATTAAAGCTTTTAATCTCATTTTCTTACCTTTAAATACTTGTTAAAATTAGGGGCGTTTTTTATTAAAATGTTTTCCAGTCCGAACCCAAATTTTTTTTTTTTTAAATTTACCAACCAGAATCTATTTAAATATAGAAATTAATTTTTATTTTTGTTTTTCTTTTACCAATATATTTTTTTTATAAACAAATTTCTCCCTCACATAGTTTCCGATTACAGTGAAGTGAAACTAGTAATATTATTATTTTTAAATATACAATAAAATGGGGTAAACAATGTAAGATTTTATTTTAATACATATTGTAATTAAATATGGACAAAAAAATAAAGATTAAACGTCATGCTTGTTTAAATAAAAAAAAAGAAATTATGTTGTAAATTTATAATTTGTAATGTAAAGGACAAAGTAACATGATGCTTTTTTTTTATATTTTTGAAGTTGTTTATTAATCATTATTTTTTTAGTTACTTACTTAGATAATTTTTTAAAGAAAATAATAATTTTAAAAATAAAATTAAGTTTTTTTATATTTTTGAAGTTAAGTTTATTATATTTTTATTTTTTTATAAAAAGTGTAAATTGAAGATTTTATATATTTTGACTTCAGAATAAGCAGGAAAAAAGACGCTTGTTTATAACCAACTCACCCCCCCCCCCTCCCCGAAATAAAATCGTTCCAAAAATATTTTAAATATCCTATTCAAGCCCAATCTTGCCAAATTTGCAAAAAAATGTCTATCAAATGTACTTATCTAACATACATTTCTAAAATAAGAAAAAAAATCAATACGTGTTTAAAAAATACGTGCCAGAAAGTTTGTATCTAATTTTGAATTAGGATGATATAGCAATTAATCGCTCAGATAACCAACATAATGATTTATTTTAATCCTATTTTTCTGTATTTCTAAGCCCTAAATGGTTCCGAATTAACCCTAAGTAGTTGCTTGCAGAATTTATCTAACCATAAAATGCCATGTTTATATTTTTGTTAATATTTTTTATTTGAACTATTTGAAATAACATTATTCATCTGGACCCTGGGTCTGGATCCTAGGATTCGTGCTCACAGCTGGTTTGGTCGATTTTTAGACACAAACCCCGGGTCTGGGTTTTACACAACCCAACCAATTAACAACACTAGGTACATATTTATTTATTTTCATTTATAAATATCAAAAAATAAAAATAAATACATTATTTAAAAATATAAAAAAAAATAATAAAAATAAATATTTATCATAAGTTATTTATACACAGTTTTTCTTCAAATTATTCTATTCAAAGTTAACTCTATATATATGTGATTTAGTTTTCCAACATATCTTAATGAATTATGCACTTTTTAATAAATCTATCCAGATTTTTAGAATAAATTTACTCAACTGTATAAGATGTATAAAAATAAATACAATCTATATATAATAAAGATAAAAATCCATAAAAAAAGGATGCTAAAAATATTATAAAAATATAAAAGATTAGCCAATATTATATTTCTGTTTTATTTTTTCTCTTCTAACCAAGCCGTAGGTTGGACATTAATCTTTGATCCTTTACGATTTTTTTATTTCAAAAATAATGCTTGAGTTGGGGTTTTTTAAGTTTTTCAAATAATTTATTAAATGATAAAATTTTTGTTTCTTTAATAAAATGGCTTTATGGTACATATCCTTGCATAAATCTTCAGCATCCTCTGATATCATTAATTTCACTTCGTTAATAATATTATTATTATCAATCATTATTATTTGAAAATATTTCAATTTCATGAAAGCTATTTGAATTTTTTTTGTAATGAGGCTTTCCAGTTTTTTTTAGTTCCAATAAAATAAAAATTTAATTTATACAAATAGAAATAGAAATAAATTTATTTATTTATTTAGAGTCAACCCTCTTGATTGCATTAAAAATGTATAATATTACCTTTGTTAATGATTGAATTAAACGTTAAAATAAATATCTAACAAAATTATTTTGAATCGTAAACTGCTAAAAAATGAATTTAAAAAACCTATAAAAACACCCTTTCACAACACAATAAGCATTTGTCCAAATGCATTAAAGGACTCTGACATTTTAAACATAGATTTTAAAACTACTTAATAACTTAGCTAATATTCTTAAAATAAGTTAAGCTTAAAACTAAGATACTATTATAATCTAATCTTAACCTTTTTATTCGTATATTAAAATTTTATCCTTTTTATTTCATAATTTGAGTTAACGTTTTATTATTATTATTAATAAAGAGTTTATCTATTTTTTTGAGTTATAGTTACAATTTTTTATTTTATGATTATATTTTTATTTTGATATATTACATTTTTATGTATAATAAACAATAAAATAAACTCTTTATCATTTAAATTTAAGCAATGTGGTATAAAAAGGTTAGTTTTGGGCAAACACTTTTTAACATTTGCTCTATATCCTGGAGAATATAATATGATGTAAAATTAGATGAACCCCGAATTATAGTTAATTTTCTCTTGCTTATATAAAGCGAGCATAAGGCGCAAACTGTTTCAGATATTAATTCCATCAATTTCTTTAAACGCTTAAACTTTATTATGGGTTCCTGTTTGAAATATCAATCTTAAATAAATATGTTAAATTTTTATGTTTAATGATTATAAATGTTGTTAGCTATCGTATATTTATTTATAAATATAAATATTATATACATTATCTACTTCCAGAATTCTTAATTATTTATCAATACTCGGTAAATTGTTTATAACATACTGTTGGTATGTGTATAATATTTGTGTAATTTATATCGTCAATGTTTTTATTCCAAAAATTAATGATTCTTTTTAAACTTTAAATCAATTATCAAGTGAATTCTTTTAGAAAAATCTGATTTTAATTCATATATTTTTATATATAATTATATTAATAATATTGTACATTTATTTTGCTATCAATATTTGAAATAAATAATAAAAATAAAATTTTAATCAAAAAACCAAATTTCTCTATCTTTATATACTTCTATACTTTCCTTTATTTCCCTTTTATTATTATCTTTTATATATTTTTTAGTTTATAGCTTTTTTAACGGGTGCTTGCTGTTCCGTTAGAGGTACCGTCATTCCTC